AGTCATAATCCATTCCATGGTTCCAGTCAGCACCAACCAGTTAAATATTCCTATGGTTTTCCTATGGTTTCCCTATGGTTTCCCTATTTGTGTCCGATACTTCGATGCAAGAAACGCTCCTGCAGGGCCCGATCCAACCAGTAGATTCGATAGGCCATGCCCTGTGCCAAGGGAGGCAAGGTGCAAGTGACCTCGACCGCGACATTGACATGCCATCTCGAAAAGGGCATCTATATACTATATGTACATGTATATATATACAGTAAAGGATAGGTTTTTTCGTATAGTAGGTATATCATACAATATTTTTAAGTGTCTAGTACAAATAAGTTATAACATATAGAGCTCTTGTAAATAGATATTTTAGGTATTATGTACACAGCATTATATATATATTTACAGTGTGTATATATATATCGCATAATTATTACACATGCATTTTCTCTATCAAAAAAAAATGGGTTTTCCCTTGGCGTGTTTGCTCAGGGGGCATTTTGTTTTGTTGATGGTGGCTGTTGGGTCAAAAACGCGGACCTGGTATGACCTGGTTCCGTCCCAAGAGTGTCAATCAGGGCGACCAAAATGGAGAGACTCGAGTGCCACTGCTCGGGATCAGTATGTTTGGTTAACATTGGTTAACAACAGCAGCAATGCACCTTGGGTTTGGTTTTGGAAGTTATACAGATATACAATTATATTTATATATATATACATAATAATACAATATAAATGTACTGTATATATAGTACCTATTATATATATATATATAAACATATATATATATAAACAAATATCATTATACACACAAATTGGGCCCTTTACTATGATTAGGAGAGGCTCTTGCGAGAAATTCAGATCAGTGGAACGGGATTTCAGTCCTACATATCCCGTTTTTCTTCATGCTGAAACTGACATTGATCTGAGCAACTTATAATAATTCACTAACCTGAAATATCCTGAAATGTTGGGCCAGCTATTGGGATGATTCCTCTTATTAACCATGATCCCAGTGAGGGAGAACAGTGAGGTTGTTATAATTTACCCAGATAATATCCCCAGTATCCCCATTGTTGATTGTCAAATCCCATTACAGTAAATCCCTTTAATGTGAATAATCCATAATAATCCTATTAATATCCCATTATCCCCAGTAATATCTCAATTGATGTTATAAATGAAATGGCCAAAAAAATGATCAACAATAAACATGGTAACTATTGTCATCATTAGTCAATGTGTTAATGTTGATTTTTCCATATATATATATGGGTAAATTATAATATTTCACTCACCTGAATTAAGGCCATTGGGGGATGATTTCCCTCATTAGCCATGATTCCAGTGAGGTCGTTATAATTTACTCAAATATATGGTATATATTGATGTCTGTTAAACCACCAATTCCCTCGTCGCGGAACACCAGTGAGGCCGCGTGGCAGTCATGTCGCGCACATGGCACTCGCGCACCGGGATGCGGATGGCCTCAGCATAGGCATGTTTAATAACTCATACATTTACTGAGTACTAATGTACATATACCCATATACTCCATGGTGCTGGAATACTTACCTACATTTACCCCAAAAATGACCCAGATGTAGGTAAATATTCCATACATGGAGCATATGGGATATATAAGTATATACTAATCTATAAAATATAGTTGTGTATGTATATATATATGTATATATGTGTGTGTTCTATAGTACATTTGGTATATGTGCATATATGTACATATATCGACATGATCATATGTGACTACTAGACTCTCTCGATATTATCCCCAGATACAGGGACGGTATTTGGAGGACCAGCCAAGTGTGGCAATGTAGCCATCTTACCCTTCCGTAAATCATGTAGATCTGGAAAATCCTAGTTTCCTGTTCGGAACATGATCTAAAAATGGTACTAAGTCGATTTTCCAATATTTTCCATCTACGGTGACTTAAGTTATTTGTGATTATAGTCACTACTAGTATAACTAACTAGAACATATTATAACCTACTACAGAAAAATAATCATTTTTGTTGGGTAACATCAGCGATATTAGCTGGTTTGTCTATGATGCTGTCTTGTTCCTATGCGTTTTGTTCTAAAGCTAAAAGCGCCACCCACCAACTGAAGAGGGTTCAACGACTCAACGACCCATGAGACCAAACAACAAAAGCCAAATCAAGCTAGTCTATCTATACCCCGTCCAAAGCAGGTGATCAAGCCATCAATATACCCGGATGGTGGCGTGAGCATCATCTAATGACCTATAATGTCAGCCCTGGATGCATAATTAAACCCCTAAACTATCATGCGATGCTCAGCTAAATTAGGGGGGTAGCCATGTAGCCATTTATTTATCTTTAACTATCTCTAAATCATCAACCATAGTATATTAGTATATTAAGCCGTGGTTAAAACCAATTTATGGGACGACCCCAGGAATCCGAAAAGGGGGCGTATACCAGTTCCAGGTGTTTCCTGGTTTTTTTGAATCCTGGTTGTTGTCACCAACTGGGTCTTCCAATCCTCTGTCATTTCACAAAAAAATGGGTGGTTAAGAACCGGATTCCCGGTTCATGGATCTTCCCCATGAAATTTTGGTATAATCCCCGAACTCATCATCAACTGGACCAATCATTTATCAATGTTATCCTCATATTGGTGATGGCTAAAGACCCTACAAAAACGATGGTTAAGTTCCCATCAAAAGAGCAGTGTTCAAAGTCCCGAAATGTCATTCCATGAAAAACTGCTTGGCTAAGAACGGGATTCCAATGTTGCATTATTGTAATCCCCAGTACCCATAGGATCCATGTATGGTATATATGCTAACATTTGGGGTATATTGATGGTAAATGTTACCATATATGGCATACATGGATCCTATGGGTATTGGGTAGTATAATCCCCGAACAATTATCATCAACCAACAAGTAGCAACCCACGGCATGGCATCCCCTGTGGCATCCTATGGGCTCCCGAACACCGGTGACGTTGGCATCCAGCGAAAACGACCACGGCCTCCAACACGAGCTGTTTAAAAGGATACTTGGGGGTGCAGTTCCAGTTCATTAAGCGGATATACATATATAGATATATAACCATTAGAAGCATAGTTATAGGATGTTATAAGTTTTTTTCCAACTTATGGCCTTATTTTTCATTTTTTACCATATGATTAAAAGTGATGGTCAGCAGAAAATCTTGGAAAAACACATTTTGGGTGGAAATTCACCAGGGTTTCCGTCAGATTTCCCAGCCAATCTGACATCTGGAGGGTGGGGGTGAGAAACCACGTTGAAAATTACCGGAGGTACAGTGAATCGTCTTTGCGAGACATGGGATATCTAACCAACGCCATTTCTTTGGTGTTTGATGAAGAAACATTGGGACGACGATGGGGCTGGGGCCATTGGGATATCACAAATTCCTCCATCGAAATTGTCAGAAAATAATCCGATATAAATTGACATAAATTGTATATAGCCAAATATACCCGACAAATTTATCATCTATATCGGATCCATAGATGAGTTGTGTATAACCTCATATGACTTGGTGGATCATCCCACTTAGTAAGTAGGTTTTAACCTCAGTTATAAATGGGATAAGTAGAGTTATTCCACTTGCAACTGGGGTTATAAACCACTTACTAAGTGGGATGAGCCACCAAGTATAGTTGTATCATCAAAGTTTACCCCCAAATGTTTCAAGGGATCCAAGGACTCCCGCAACTCCATCCGTCCCTGGGTCCCTAGGTCCTGGGCATAGCTCCAATCAGTATTCTCTCGCACGTGTTACTAATCCTTGCCCTTCATTTTTTTGAACTCCCCCAAGAAATCATGGTGGATCTGGGGGATGAAACCAATATATATATATATATATGTATGCATGTATACATACATACATACATACATACATACATACATTAATACATTACATACATACATACCATACATTACATACATACATACATTACATACATTACATACATTACATACATTACATACATTACATACATTACATACATACATACATTACATACATTACATACATTACATACATTACATACATTACATACATTACATACATTACATACATTACATACATTACATACATTACATACATTACATACATTACATACATTACATACATTACATACATTACATACATTACATACATTAATACATTACATACATTACATACATTACATACATTACATACATTACATACATTACATACATTACATACATTACATGCATTACATACATTACATACATTACATACATTACATACATTACATACATTACATTCATTACATACATTACATACATTACATACATTACATACATTACATACATTACATACATTACATACATTACATACATTACATACATTACATACATTACATACATTACATACATTACATACATTACATACATTACATACATTACATACATTACATACATACATACATACATACATACATACATTACATACATTACATACATACATACATACATACATACATACATACATACATACATTCATACATACATACATCACATACATATACATACATACATACATACATGAATCAAACTCCCCTAATATGACACACCCCACAAATGGTCCCAGTCATATTCATATGTATATATATATATATATATACATATTTGTCAATTAGGGCTTAGGGAGAATCACTCAAGTAGGATGGACAAAGAAACCTATTGGAGCCATTAAGAATACCATAAAAATACCCCGATCCCATCCCATCGGTTGATAGGTATCCCTAGAAACCAGGGTTGAACCAGGGAGTAGAGGCCCATGTTTTTAATGGCTCACCCCCTGACCAAAGGCTGTTTGCTAAATTGATTCGTAGATCATTGAGCGCGAGGAAATAACAGCATAGAATTTGTCTACAGCCACTCATTGACTAACTATCAAGATCAGTGGGAACAAGATATGTTGTTCCCGCCAAAAACGCCGAAATTGTATTTCAATGGAGGAATTGAATGATGAACAAACGGCTTTGTTTAGCAATTTGGAGTCAACCACACAACCTGACCTTGGGAATGCCAGCTGGGCCCAAGACGCCCCCGCAACGAAAAAAAACTTCGAACAAGGCACATCTGCATCGTGTCGTTGGTGAAGTTCATTGGTTCACTGTGGTTCACTCCTGAGGGCGCAAAAGTTTGGGGTTTGAACCAGCTCCCATCAAAGGTGAGATATGGGGCTTTAAAACTTGAATTGACTAACAACACTGCAGCAAACCTGGCAGCCATGAGCAGCCCAAAATCTGAGTTCATCCTGGGATCTCAGCCGTGTCTTGTTCCAGAAAAAAACATGTGTCATCAAATTTCAAAGATGCCAATTTCCAATGACTACCAATGCTTTCTAACGGCGTGGTTTGGGGTATTCGTGATGCAAGGCAAGTTAACATATTATTCCCATACTACTTCCCAGTAGGTAATTCTAATAGGGAATAATGCGGGAAACCGGGAAACCCAATGCCATAAACCTACCATTTGGGGATGGTACATTCCATTCATTTTTGGTGTTTTATGGTGATTTTGGGGATGGTTTATATACCGTATTAGGTTTACCAATGTATGTACATATATTTATATATATATTAATATATATATATGTGTACGTATTAAATAAATATATATATATATACTAAATATATATATATATATTATATATGTGTATAATATTATATATATATTATATAAATATATCAAATATAAATAATATATATATATATAGATATATGTATTAAATATATATATATATATATATCAAATATAAATATGATATATATATATATATAGATATGTATTCAATATGTGTGTGTATATATATATTATATATATGTATATGTATTATATATATATGTGTGTGTGTATTGAATAGGAAAAACAAAATATATATATATATATGTTTCAAAAAAATAGCTCCGAACCGCTCTGACCACCGGAGAGTGAAACTCTCTGAGGGCCCTGCCAGGGTGCCATGCCTCCGGCGATGACCGGATGACCGGAGGATGGTCCCGGCGAAGCCACGGTGCTAGGATGGGGTGTGAGGTTCTCCTGGGTTAAAAAATGGTAATAACACCAATTACCAGCGAAATCGTACTTCAGTATGTCGACTAGCAAGGATTGACCATGTTCAAGTAACCTCAGAGAAATGCGCCAAATAGGTGAACCAATAAGTTGAGGTGCACTCCCGGAGAAGAATGGCATATCATCCATGGTCTAACTGGATGATATTTGGATGTTTTGATGAGTGCAACTGGGGGCCATCAGTGTATGTTAAGGGTTCAAACATGCAGTAGCTATGCGCCTACTTTGTTTGGCAGTGTTTGGTTCTCAACGAATGTCAACACAGGATATAAAATATGTAACCCCAAATCATTAGAGAGATCCTGAGATGCAATTGCAAGTGGTACCTTCTGTATTTCTCAACTGAGGGATGATATTGAAAATGACAAGTATATCGACAGTATATCTAAACATAATTCTATAATATAATTTTGAGAAACATTTACCATGGATCTCTGTACCGCTACCAGTTTGTTGTACACCACGCACCTCGTGGAATGCACCGATGCTGTTGTTGCTTCCGTTCATCCACCAGGTCTCGTTACCTCAAGACCAAAATGTTCAGCAGTTCAGTTGAGCTGGAGGTTATTTTTACGTCCAAAACTGAGCTGGATGAGCGAAGCAAAGGCGTGAAAACAAGACAAATTCATGGACACAAAACATCAAACAAAACACACATATACTGTATACTGTATATATATATATATGGGTTTCCATAAATGGAGGTACCTCAAAATGGATGGTTTATAGTGGAAAATCATATATATATATATAATTTCTAAATAATATGAGCGAAGAAAACGCAGGGACCAACCAACATCCAGCATCCATCGGTCCATACTGACCGGTGGTCCCGTGGTGAGTCGCCTATGCCTATGGCCAGGCTGCCAGGGTAACGCTGGGTTGGTAGCGCTTCCAGGGTTAGAACTGAACAAAATATGATGTGTATGTAGTTACCGAGTTCGGATGTCATCTCCGCAAATTATTTCGAATATATTTTATATAACTATGTAATTATTATATATATAATTATACCCTCTGGTAAACTAACATAGCTATGGAAAATCACTATTTTTAATGGGTAAATCCACTGTAAATGGTCATTTTCAATAGCTATGTTAGTTTACCGGAGGGTATATATGCATAGTTGTAACAATCCAGCCTCCTCACGCCGCGAAGTTCATGCACATGCGCATGCCATTGGATCAACGTTGTTTGAACGAGAAAAACACGTCCCACATCTACACCCAACGTCACTCGTAAACATGATAAAGCACAATGATCAAACATGATCAAACTATCAAAACGTGTCACACCTATTTTACTATGCAACACTGTGTTCTGACCCATTTGTTGTCGTAAAAATGGAAGTCAATGAAATAGTGCAAATCATTTTGTCAGTTTATCCCTTTCGTTGTTATCTGGTTGGTGGTTTTAACCATCTTGATAGTTATTAGTCAATGGGAAGAATGACATCCCATATATTATGGAAAATATAAAAATATTCCAAACCACCAACCAGTTATGTAATGTGGATCACCTCTTGCAAAACAAGGGAAGCGGTGCCACATGGGCATCTCATCCCGAGACCCGACCCCTCAGGCCCCTCGGCTCCCCTACTCTCGTTGCATCCCTCACAGTCCGTCCTGATTTGTGATGTGAAATCCCCTAGAAACAACTGGTGAATATCATGTTTGCTGTTGAAGAATCCATGGATATTGGTCATATTCCATGATGTTCCCAGTTGATCTATGTTGATCTTTTCGCTCTGCTAAAACATGAACGCTCATCTTGAGTTGATTACTGAAACCACTCATCCTTTGTCCTATTTTACATGGCCAATATTGGATACCTCACAAGAAAAGCAACTACTCAGTATATCATTATTTTACATAAATAAGTATATATATATATATATATTTATTTATTTAATTACCCCACTGAAGAAGCCATCCAAGGTCCAAGGTTGACCCAAACTTGGGGATCCCCGTCGCATTATTGATGGTGAGTTCATCTTTATAAGTTCGGATATGGGGCCCGTAAATCTATGGTGCTTAGCTCGCTGAAACTTAGCTGACTGGAACTGCTAAGTCCAGGGATGGAATATAGTTCGTTTGTTACCCATCTCAGAATACTTTCATCACCATAAACCGTTACTCTAGTGATCTTCACCAACTTAGCTAACCTTTGACCACGTGTTTATTTGTTTAATAGAAATCCTCGGTCACCCAGGACCCTCTCCTCCAATCCATTTGCTCAGGGTCTGCCTGGCCGGGGGCTTGAACAAAATCATAAGACAACTAGGAAAGATGGGCATTTCACCAGAGCTGGATATCGGATATTGCCACCAATATACCCTGTGGTAATTTATTGCAGTTTGCTATCGACATGATAGCCCATAGAGACTTCGACGATTTACCGTTGTTGAAAATGTTGATATGATGTGAGATGCGCATCTATATTCGGAATTGTGTGTTGCTCTGTAAATGCAGTGTGCATCCATCCATCCATACATACACGCATACATGCATTACATGACATGACATGACATGAGTTCACATCACATCACATCTCATTACATAACAAAACAAAACATACATTACATAAATTACCTACATTACATACATTACATACGTTACATACCTTACATACATTACATACATTACATACATTCCTTACATTGCATACATCACATACATTGCATGCATTACATACATTACATACCTTACATACATTACATACATTCCTTACATTGCATACATTACATACACTACATGCATTACATGCACTACATACATTACATACAATACATACATTACATACATTACACACAATACATTAAATTACACACATTACATACATTACATGCACTACATACATTACATACAATACATACATTACATACATTACACACAATACATTAAATTACACACATTACATTACATTAAACTAAATTACATACATTACATTACATTACATTAAATTGCATCAAATGGCACAACAACACATGACAAAACAACACATAACATACTATAACTAACATACTATAACATAAAATGCATACATACATACATGCATACATACATACATACGTACGTACATACATACCTACATACCTACCCACATACATACATACATTACATTCATACCATTACATTACATTACATTGCATTACATTGCAGTACATTACATCACATTACATTACAGTACAGTCCATGCACTACATACATTACATAAACTACATACATTACATACAACACATGCTTTACATACTTTACATACTTTGTATACTTTACACACATTACATACGTTACATACAATACACAGATTACATGCCATACCATACCATACTGTACCATACCGTACCATATCGAACAATACTGTAACATACTAATCCATACCATACATTGGCATGCATTAACATGCATTAACATACATGTACATACATGAACAACAATCAACATACATTAACATACGTACAATAATACACATTAACAAACATAACTTACATTGCATTACATGCATTACATACATTACATGCTGAACATACAAAACATACAACACATACGTAACATCCATATCGTTCATACCATACCAACTGTACATGGCATAAATACCATACAGGCCATACATGTCTACATTACATACATTACACATATTACATCCATTACATACATTACAAACATTACAGACATTGCAAACATTACAGACAGTACAGACATTACAGACATTACAGGCATTGCAGACATTACAGATATTACGCACATTATACAATGCATATTACGGAGATTCGGCACATTTAGCGCCTTACGCACATTACGCCCATTACCGTGCATTACCGCGCATTAATGCCCATTAGCGCACATTATCGCACATTAACAAATTTACATACATTAAATAAATTTAAATAACATACATTTACATACATTTGCCTTTAATTACAAACATGTACGTCAACATATTTTCTACACATTTACATACATTCAAAACATTTAAATACATTTACGTACATTTACATACATTAACATACATCCAAAAACATTCACAAACCATCATTTTCGTTAACATACATTCACATACATTCCCATACATTTACACTCATTAACAAACATTCACATACATTGACACACACATTTAAATACGTTCACATACATTTACATACATTACCATATAACAACATGGGTTCATAAATGTTAACATACATGAACATACATTGCCATACATTCACAACCATTAGCATACATTAACATACATTAACATGCATTCACATACGTTCACAAACATTCACATGCATTAACATATTTTGAACATAGTTTTTCAACATACATTAACATACACAAACACAAATCAACATATATCAACATACAATAACACACAATAACAGACATGAACATACACGAACAAACAGTAACATTCAATAGCATGTGTTAACATTCATTATTAATACATACAGTACATACTTTCCACACATTGTATGACATGATTGCATGATTACATAAACAAATATATACATTGCAAATATTACACACATGAAATGCACTACACACGCTACATGTATTTTACATACATTGAAATACATTACATACATCACGTACAACACATGCACACACACATTACATTACATACATTACATTACATACATTACATTACATGCAGTACATTACATACATTGACATACATACATACATTACATAAATTACATTGCGTACACATACTTCATTACATCACATCACATGACATTACACTACACTTGATCACACTACATTACATCACATTACATTACATTACATGCATTACATTAAGCTACATTGAACTACATTATATTACAATGAATTACATTTCATTACGCACACATTACATTACATCACATGACATGACATTAGGTTACATTACTGTACATTACATCACATTACATTACATTTATGCATATATAAGTATACTGGTTGGTGGTTTCAGCCCCTCTGAAAAATACGAAAGTCAGTTGCGATGATGAAATTCCCAATAATCAAATGGAAAGTCATAAAATTCCATGGTTCCAAACGACCAACCAGTTTAGTTAGATCCACCATAAACCATAATTAAGCCACTTTTCTAAGGCAACAGAACGCTATCCATTGGAGTCAGAAACCACATGGCTATAGAGCCCAATCAACCTGTCGCCACGAGAAGCGAGATATCGCTAGGATCATCCCATGTATCTGGGCCCCGAAGTTGTAACAGTAGATGCCAACCTACCCAGTTTTTATGGTGGTTTAATGGGATTTAATGGGATTGACCCTCTGGTAAATATACAAAAACTATGGGACATCATCATTTTTAATGGGAAAATCATCTATCTCTATGGCCATGTTCAATAATTAGCTATGTTAAATTACCATGGGGTAACCCAGTCACTGATGCTGAACCAATCTTTAAATAGGGTTCAGTATCACCAACCAATATCTTTTCTTTGAACAATGCGGCCAATCTGACCCATGAATGGTTGCCAAGGCAACAACATCCAATTATAAGCGGCATATGCGTGAGGAAAAACGTGAATGTATCAAACTGATCCAATGCAAATACGTACCCAACCGAAAAATCAAATCTACATGTCGTTTTGTGGCTTTTGTTATCTATGCTCCCCGAGAGACGCTTTTGATAGTTCTGCTTCACGACGAGTTTCGTCACCAAATTTCTGGGTTTCTATGGTACAGATCGACTTGGCCGCTCTGTACCTCATATACAGCCCAGATTGACCAGTAGAACCTGGACTGAATGAAGGTCATTCATTGCCGTTTCGGATCCAACTGGTCATCTCATCATCGGGAAGTATTGTACACATTCGAGGGCTCTGGGGAGATCTGGTTCCTATAGCCTGTTGATATGATTGACGAATTCCATACCGAGGCATTTACTGACACTGGGCACATGAACGGGCAGCGTCAACATTAGTCAAGTCTTGTCTGTGTCAATCAGTCCACACTTGAATGAACTAGTCAGATTCAAACATCCACATTTTTCCAATGGTTCAACCGTTAAACCATTGTTCTTTAACCAACCATACAATATCCCAATATCTCCGCATTTCCAATAGACAATCCACAATCTTCAATGGCCATTTCAGGTACCTAAACTGGAGGTACTGTACTATACCATAAGAAGCCGTATGCTTGATTATTTTTTGGGTATATCTCAGTGGGTGCGGTAACCTGTTTGTCTGTCGGGACCCCCCCCACCTTGAAACTATTTATAAAGTGGCTGGCGCTATTTATAAACTACTTGACGCTATTTATAAACTACTTGACCCTATTTACAAAGTACTTCACGCTTTTATAGATCATCTCAAGCTATTTATCAAAAATAATGTTATTTATCAAATGTGGCGTGCATTTTGATATTGCGTGAGTGTTTTCCCACGAGTATATTGCATTCAAACTTCTATCATTGCCGCCCCAATAATTCTCAGGGTGTTGGCTATCGTGACTATCGTGTGATAACTTGATAACCCATCAATTCTCTATAGGTACTCCTGGATGAGATTTTGAAAGAACCACTAAAAGGCTGAAGAAAAGCTGCCACACAATCATTTTTCTCAGTCGGATCCCTGAGTACGCTTCTTCTCTTTTCTTTTTTACATATCCCTGGTCCAAGACATGTGAAAGAATGTGACATTTGACATGTGTTATGTTCTTTTGAACAGCAGAATCGGCGCAATCAGCGTGTACATATATATATATAATTGTATATATACATATATATGGTGATCAGTTTTTTCATTCTACGATGACGATGTTGAATTGGTTAAATTCATGATTCATCATGCCATTCGACATCATAAAATATGAGATTGTTTTTGATTCAGACTCACGGCCATCGCAAAGTACGAAGCCCGGCTTCCAGATGGGATTGCCAAAACTAACTACTTTGAAAGGGCCAGGATTGATTTATTTGAGAAACACATATTCAGCGCCAAACAGACGAAAACATTCAAAGAAAGTATGTGATCGTAAATATACGTTGAACAGATATTATTGGTTTGCAAATAGCTTGGAACGGTTTGAACCGGTTCTACACTATGTATACTTTGACACTGTTGTAAATATCGCGGAACGGTTTGAAACGGCTCCGCACTATTTCAACATCCACTTTTATACATAGTGTAGAACAGTTTGAAACGGTTTGACACTTTATACCCCGGAACTATTTGAAACTAATTAGGGGTATGACGTACAACTACGGCCAGGCCCTGTGTGTTGCCCGGAAGTTTACAGGGACATTCCCGGCAAATTTCATGATGATGATGATGATGATTCTAACTGGGGTGGGAGAATTAAACCCTTATGGAAGATCTTCAATGAATTGAAGAGTTTAACGGAGGTGGGAAATTTCACCCTTATTGAAGATCTTCAACGAATGTAAGAGTTTAAGGGGGATGGGAGAATTAAACCCTTATTGAAGAATCTTCAATGAATGTAGAAGTTTAACATTGCTATTTCGATCTATTTCGGCTCCTTTTTTTTCTCGGGACACCGGGATTCAAACGAACAGAAAATGCCGAGAAGCAGAGCCAACCCCTGACCTCCCCACTAACTTTTAAATGTGTCCCGAGACCTGGCGGGGTAATGTTGTTACTGTAGTTGTCCCGGGAGCAATTGACATGTTCGACTTTTCGGCATCAAGGTTTGGGTAATTATATGCCATTATGATTCTTTACAAACACTGTCTATCCAATGGCATGTTTAATGATAGTGCGTTATTTGCTTAAAAAAAACTTCATACGAAAGGAAACCATACGAAAGGAACCCCCTGCCCAATACTCCACAGGGATCAGAGCCATGGGCTGTAAACAGGACCAACATGCAGCTATGGGCCATAAGGTGCTGCATTGGTTTGTCAACAGTCAAATGAATCAAATCATATTGTATTTGTCAAAAAATACAGTTACCATTACCATTAGTTTTATTCATGAGTGATAGAATCATTTGTGATAGACGCGACCAATGTGTTGGTGCTATGGCCTGCATAATCCTGTCATTCCTTAGGGGTAAACAACTTCAAACACATCAAACCAATACCCAAAAATACCAGAATTTTGTATAAATAGTTGCTATGGTTTTATAGTTTCCAGGGTCTTGTGAATATATAGTTTGCAACATTTTCACATAATTTCCAGGTTTTACCCCTAACAGAACATGCCAAATAAACAGGCCACCGCACTCATTAAGGCATATCCTTGTACATAGCCGACACAGCCATGGAACACGGCGGCTCCATTCGATGTGATGCCGTTGCTTTGGAACGTTTCTGACACCCAAAACGCGTACCTTTACTTCGAGGCACTAACGTCACCAGCAGGTGAAAAAAGGTATGGGTCAAACATGGGGTATGTTTGAAACCACTGAATTGTTCACGTTTAGCCCAAAAACAAAGCCTTTTGTGCCATAGCGAAATGTTTGATCATAACGAAGGGTTTGACCCATAGCTGTCATAGTCACTACACATATAAACGCCGTGACATTTGAGTGTCGAGTTTTGCTCAGCGAACCGTCATTTCGCACCACTTACATCCCTTTGCTTTATCGCGTTGACATCAACCTCAGGACAGCTGGCCAAGCGCAAAAGGGCTTCACAAAACCGACTTCAACTGGAGGCTGGATGCATTTCAAGTTCCCTTGGTATAGGAAAAAAAATCACAGCGCTCCACGGGTTCTAGACAAAACGCCTGAAAGTTCAAACCCAAAACGCTCCTGTCCAGCGCTCAAAAGCATAAAATGTCAGGTCTACACATTGGAGATCCTTGCGATTTGGACATTTCATTGTTCATGTATTTCGCTGCTTCAAACTAGAACGCGGTCAATGATTGGTTGAATCTTTCAGTCATGTCAAATCAATTCAATACGAAATACACACATATAAGAGAGAGAGAGAGAACGAGAGAGATATATATATAAAGAATGTAATTAAGAAAAAAACGGATACCGCCACAATAGGCCCCACAAGTCGACTTCTTCCAATAATCAGAAACAGTGGTTGAAACGGTACGGACAAGGGAGATGGTGGAGGATCGATAGTTTCAAACAGTTGTCTGTGAAAGAGTTGAGTATGAGAAAGAGTTGTGTGTGTGTGAGAAAGTTGTGAAAGAGTTGTGTATGAGTGTGAAAGAGTTGTGTGTGAAAAAGTTGCGTGTAAAAAGAGTTGTGTGTGGAAGAGTTGCGTGTGAACAAGTTGTGTGTGAGAAAGCCAGCGTACTTCTTCCCACGTTGGGTCAAAGTCGGCCTCCCAAGCGACGCGGTTGAGAGCAGGGCGGGACGTTTGGCAATCACAAAGGATGCGAACTGACCGGCCAGTGCCTCTTTGTGTACCCAGCAAGGCATTAGCCCATCCCCTCGCTGTCATAATTGGCTACGAAGCAAGTGCCACACCTGCCACACAAAAGCATCGTGGATGTCACCAAGTGCCACGCCTGCCACGCAAAGCGCCGCGGCGCCGGACGACCAACGGGGACCAAGCGCGCCACACCAGAGCCAACCCATGCCGCAAGTGCCACGGCTGCCACGCAAAAGCCACGAGAGTGTCGCCAAGTGCCACACGTGCCACGCGCAAGTACCGTGGATGTCACCAAGTGCCACGCCTGCCACCAGAGCAAACCTAGTGCCGCAAGTGCCACGCCTGCCACGCAAAAGTACCGTGGATGAAATCGTGTACATATGAGTCTATGAGAAAGTTGTGTGTGAAATTGCGTGTGTTCTGGTTTGGGCTACATAGGATATTTTCGGAAGACCATCATTTTTTCATGAAGTACAACCACGTGATCTACTTTAGGTCTAATTGTCTAGGCTGGTTGCACGTTACAGGACTCAGTTCCTGATGGATCTCTTCAAAGATCCAATTTTGTCTAGTGTGTGTGTGTGACATGATTGTGCATGAGGAAGTTGTGTGTGATAGATAGTGTGTGACAAAGTTGTGGGTGAGAGTGCGTGAAAGAGTTGTGTGAAAGATTTGTGTGAAACAATGTATGTAAAGAAAGTGTGTGTGACAAAGGTTTGTGTGAAAGATGGTGTGTGACAAAGCTGTGTATGAAAGATTGTGTGTGACAAAGTTGCGTGTGTGTGTGTGAAAGATTGTGTGTGTGTGACAAAAGGTGTGGGTGTGTGTGTGTGTGAAAGATTGTGTGCGAGGAATTGTGTGTGACAAAGTTGTGCGAGGAATTGTGTGTGTGTGTAACATCTGAATAGATGTAAAACTTCTGCAATTTTCCTTTTTTCAGATTGCGGCGGGTGCTAGCAGAGCCCGGAGTCTACCGCCAACGAAGACGCTCTGGTCTCCCTGGTGATACATGGCCTGATCAGCCATGCATACCTGCACTATTTTCCAATGCAATGGCACGGGGCTAAGCCGAGAACCCCAACTTGAATCTTTCATTTATTCTTGTCCAATTGCACGTTATGGGATTCAGTTCCCGACGGATCACTGTAATGATCCAGTTCTTGTCTAGTGTGAAAAATTGTGTGTGACAAAGGTGTGTGGGAAAGATTGTGTGTGACAAAGTTGTGTGTGTGTGACAAAGATTGTGAGTGACAAAGTTGTGTGTGTGTGTGTGTGACAAAGATTGTGTGTGACAAAGCTGTGTGTGACAAAGAGGGCGGTCGGAGGCGGCGGCCAGGTACAGACCCAAAAACAAGAACCCCACACAAAGATGTGGGGAATGAGTTCTTTGGGTATGCATATGTGAATAATGTACGGCAATATGTTTTTTTCCCCTGCTGTCTTCTTCAAAGCACTCAAGTAACCGATTGGTTAACTCGCCTGCAACTGACACCAACAACCGCTGTCTCATCCTCTGTTAGGTCACCTTCCTCAAAATATCCAAAAATGATCTCTGGACATTTTCCGCTTCTGTTCTTTCTGAATTATATCTATACAAAAAGTGTTGTGTTTGATATTATCAAAACATTGGAAATCAGATGAAACAAGAATAAAATATAGATATGTGGAAATTCCATCGTGCACAACGAGAATGAGCTCAAAACCTGATATTAAAAACACGGCAAATATTCTTTGATCCACTATTCAAGGCATCGATTTAAGTTGTGTTTAATAAGAAACCACAAACTTTGACATGTTTTTTTTACTCAAAAGTAAATGCACGGTGAGGACTCCAGCTCTGGCAGCTCTGTTTGTTGGTTTATACGTCCCATTAATTACACATATCATCTGGTTATTTAACATAGCCATGGAAAATCACCATTTTTAATAGGTAAACCATCTATTTCTATGGGCCATTTTCCATGGCTATGTTAAATAACCAGAGGGTATAGTATAGCAAACAAAAACCGTAGGATTTGCCTCGTTATCTTTACCAGCAATCCTCTGGGCCACGCTTAAGTACAGGGGTCCTCAGGTCTCCTCAGGTCCGATTGCCATGGCAACTCCACTGATGATTTGCCCCCTAAAACCGCCAGGGGATGATTCAAGGTGGAAATATGATTGGAAATCCATATGGAAATCCACCCCCATATTGGATGATAGATGATATTAGTTGAGGATGTCCAATATCTTCCAATATTTTCCTATGGTCTGAATTGAATTTCCCACTTTCTCCGACTCCAAAAAGCCAAAAATAAAAAATCGCGGAGAAACTGAAATAGGCACTTCCTCCACCAGATCCATATCCTGATGGCGACTCTACGGATGGTGCTGCGAGCATAACTGGAGTAACTCTTGGGTTTCTGGTGGGTGTACATATACTTAGTTATACTTAAATATCTTATAGGTAATCAACTAAGAAACAGACCGCTAGGGGGTATTATCATGCCATGTAGAGATGGACAAAAACATATATATATATAACCTTATAATATATATATATATAACCTTATAATATATATATATATATATGTATATATGTTTTATGTATATATTTATATATATGTATACATATATATATATCTATATGTATACTATACATAAATATAGATAGAGAAAGAGTGTCAATTTACGTTCCGGTATTCAGGAGAGAACTTCAAGGGTATGCTGAGGTTGCATCCATATTCCCAAGAAAAAAAGGGTAGCTAAGAATATGTTTAAGAGTTTCCCACCACATGATGGTTTACCCCATGCAAAATCGCATATTTCCTTGTGACTTTGCCATCAGACCTTGAATCATATCATTGGAGAATTGGCATGTTGTGAGAATATTATATCCGCCGACCCCGGCCGAAGCAAGAGAAGGAGCGCGTTCCGGTATTCAAGAGTTCAAGGGTATGCTGAGGTTGCATCCATATTCCCAAGAAAAAAAGGGTAGCTAAGAATATGTTTAAGAGTTTCCCACCACATGATGGTTTACCCCATGCAAAATCGCATATTTCCTTGTGACTTTGCCATCAGACCTTGAATCATATCATTGGAGAATTGGCATGTTGTGAGAATATTATATCCGCCGACCCCGGCCGAAGCAAGGGGGAGCGCGCTCGGGGATAAGAGTTTCCCACCCCAACTACCAGAACAGCAGCAGCAGCAACAACAACAACAACAGCCAACAACCAACAACCAACAACCAACAACCACAACAACAACCAACAACCACAACAACAACCAACAACCACAACAACAACCAACAACCAACAACCACAACAACAACCAACAACCACAACAACAACCAACAACCAACAACCAACAACCAACAAACAACAACCAACAACCACAACGACAACCAACAACCAACAACCAACAACCAACAACCAACAGCCAACAACCAACAACCAACAACCAACATCATCAACAACAACAACAACAAACAACAAACAACAAACAACAAACAACAAACAAAAAACAACAAACAAACAACAAACAACAACCAACAACCAACAACCAACAACCAACAACCAACAACCAACAACAACAACAACAACAACAACCACAACCACAACCAACAACCAACAACCAGCAACCAACAACCAACGACCAACAACCAACAACCAAAAAACACAACAACAACCAACAACCAACAACCAACAACCACAATAACAGCCACCAACAACAACAACAACAACCAGCAACCAACAACAACAACAACAAACAACAAACAACAAACAGCAAACAACAAACAACAACCACAACCACAACAACAACAACCAACAACCAACAAACACAACAACAACAACAACCACAACAACAACCAACAACCAACAACCAACAACCAACAACCAACAACCAACAACCAACAACCAACAACCAACAACAACAACCAACAACCAACAAACACAACAACCAACAACCAACAACCAACAACCAACAACCAACAACCAACAACCAACAACAACAACAACAACAACAACAACAACAACAGTCAACAACCACAACAACCACAACAACAACAGTCAACAACCACAACAACCAACAACCAACAACCAACAACCACAACAACAACCAACAACCAACAACAACAACAACAGCAGCAGCAGCAACAACAACAACCAACAACGAACAACGAACAACGAACAACCAACAACCAACAACCAACAACCAACAACCAACAAACACAACAACAACCAACAACCAACAACCAACAAACACAACAACAACAACCAACAACCAACAACCAACAACCAACAACCAACAACAACAACAACAACAACAACAACAACAACAACACAGCCACTTCGCAACAAATTTGGAAGATGTGGACAAAAGAAGTCGCGCTTGCGGATAGCATCCTGCACAATAGCCGTCAAACCAGGTGCAAAGGGTAGAATCCCCGGCCTCTTGTGAGACAAAAAACAGGGAGAAATTGTTCTTTTATAGGGTTTCAGAAGGGACGTGAAGGAGTTTTCCTGTTTTGGACAGATTTCCAAAATCATAAAACGCACAAGTCACGTGCCGCCCATGAGGTGCCGACCCCTGACGATGGGCTGAACCTCCACCCCGTTCTATTGTAAATCGGTGCGTCAAAATGCCTTCAGGTAGCGCAACGTGGCCCTAAGATTGCGCACCATCGCTGCAAGTTGACCCCAAAACGACCTCAACGCTCAAAACGGCCTCCTTTTTTGAGCCTCGACATCGGCCATCTTGGCATGGAAGTAGAAACCGGCAGAAAACGCCGTGTTTTACGGGTCCAACATCGCCCCGACGTGGTCTCAACATGAGACTCAACATTGCCCAAGTTGACCCCCAAAAGTCTCCGCATGATCCTGGCTTCCAACTGTGCTGTGATAGAAAATCAACAAGCTTTCTACTTCTGTCCAAAAACACAGAATACACACCCAGAAGAACTGGAAAACACCGTCTCATAATGTCATAACGTTAATGTCATTTCTGATGTGTCGTTTCCAAATGTTCCCACCCAAGAAGAGTGACAAGTATAGCTCTTTGAGCCTCTCTGTCACACACATCCAGAACAAACTCATTCCTTTGCTGAAAAAATATCAACTTCATTCTTAATGTGCCATCAGCATCCATCAACAAACATATTGTGTTGGCATGAGGTTGGGAAACTCTTGGTAGCTCCAACTGGCTGCCCATGGCTGCCCATGGCTCCATAGCTTGTTCGCAACCACCAAACAGATATAATAATACACAATAATAATAACAATGATAATAATATATATATGGAAAATTGTTGTATATCAACTGTACAAAGTTGTATATACTTGTAATGCAATTAAATATGGTTTGTCTATTATATCATAAGTATATTATATATAGTATATATATGTTAAATCAATATATATATATAAATAAACCATATTACATATTATATAGATATTGTTTTTTTGAAACATATATATATATATGTACTATAGATGTGATATTATATATATATGATATTATATATATATATATATTCTTATCATTATCATTGTTATTCAAACTATATACTATATCATTGATATATGCATCATATTATACAATATATATATATATGTTATATGCATGATATCGTGTCATTATATACATATCATATCATATACATACATATCCATGTATATATAAATATATATCTATTACAATATAGACAATATATATATGTGTTTTACATACATTATAATACATATATATATAATTATTGTTGTTGTTGGTCTTATTATAATATTATTCTCATTACTATATATGTATATATTATATCATATGTATATATATATATATATCATATACTACACATTATATATATACATATGTTATATATACATGACATATATATATATACATATACTTTGTTTTATTATTGTGCCATTTGGAATATCATATAAATAAATAAATATATATATATATATATATATCATATGTGTATGTATAAATCATATTATATAAATATATATCATTATATATATATATATGTTATACATACATGGTATATGTATAATAATTAGTGTTATTTTTTTAGTCTACAACATATACATAATGTATACACATTATATATATATATATCATATGTTACACTATATATGTATGTTATATGAACATAACAATAACAAAAATACACCATTACATATATATATATATATATAAATATCATGTATGTCATATATATATACACATCATATTAATACATGTTAAGTTATGTATAAATACATGATATATATATAATATTATTATTATCATCGCTATTTTTATTTTTTATCATCATCGTCGTTTTTATGATTATTAACATTGTTATTATCTATCATTATTACTATATATATTATATCTATATTATATCCATTATATATCATTGTTATTAACATTGTTATTATCTATATTAAATCCATGACACAACATCATCCCTTCTTCCAAGCGTCATCTGCCTCTTCCTTCACCGGCCCGTCCAGCTGCGCCACTGCCAAGCCCGCGCCCTGAAGCCGCAGCCGTCGGACCCGTCGCCGGTCCAGGTGCGCTTTGGACAGATGTGCCATGAGGCCGAAACAGGACACCAACCCCGTGAGCACCTGAGGGGTGGAAAAATGGGGAAGGATTTGGGTGGGTTTAGAAAAGACAAGATCACATAGAATATGATATAACAATCATACAATATATCGACTATGATATAGAATATGATATCTAGAATGCTAGAATATTGTCCACTTTATTTCGCTCCTAACCACCCAGATACTGTATATACAGTATGTAGAAGTCTTGTATTTATCTTTTTTATGGCTTTTTACATGTCATGTGCGTCATTTGAAACGGCCATGTTTCGGCGTCCCAAAGCCATGCCATGGCACGAAGGGTCCCGCCATGCCATCCACATTCAGCGCCAATGGCTCCGCCGTGGCCTCCGCTTCGGCCAAGATGGCGGCGCAGTAGTCGTTGGGGCGGTAGGCAGACAGAGAGCGTTGCACTTGGCGAAAGCTCTCAGGAGCTGTTCCCATCCCACTGGTTGAATCTGGTTGATATATCTTTGCGAAAAAAACATGGAGAAAATTGCATATATGAACTCTTCTGACCTAAAACTAGCATCAAAAACTAGGGCAACTAGCGGCGTCAGGCATGTTTTCCTTGCCCAGATGGAAGCAACATGCAAAATCGCAGTACAGGATTCACATGGGATGAACTTCCAAAGATGTTGGGAGGGAGCACCCGGCCTGGTAAACTTTCACATACTTTAACTGGAAAGATCCACCATTTTATAGCTGGGTAAATCCACTATTTCGACTGGGCCATGGCTTCAATAGTTATGTATGAAATTACCAGAGGGTACTCTCCAGTCGGCCCCATTGTCCAAGTCATGTGAGGCTAAAATCTGTCCAGACCACCCAGGTAAACCGTCATGGATCCATTGGGTATCCACAGGTCCGATGTCCCTACCTGTTATGGGCCTGTTATGGGCCATGCTCATAGGGAAAAACACATAACATACTATAGGTATCCGATACCCAAACTTGCATGATGGCTGATCGCAGTGTCTTTCTGCAGTGTCTTTGCTTCTCACCCCATCTCCTCAAGCAATCACTTGACCCAGCGCTGGCCCCGATGTTCATCAGGCCAAGTTTGAGATTTTTCTTAATGGATAACATTTGATAAATTTTGATAACCATCATGAATAACATTCAAAACCCATATCCATCTGGAAAAAACATATGGGGGTTCTATAAATGGGGGATCCCAAAAATTGTTGGTTTATAATGGAAAATCCATCTATAAGAGGATGATTTAGGGGTACCCCCATTTCAGGAACCCCCCAAAAAATCATTCATATACACAAAAAACGATTTGAATGCTGCACCCAGTCATTTCGACTCCAACCTCTCCCTCACCAGCTAAGGAGGTGAAGGCATAGTTCAGTGGCCGCACCCATCTCTCAGAGACTGCCATACCTCGACAGCTCGACAGCTCGACGTGACTTTCGGAGAATCATCGAAAAATCCTGGGAACATATTTCAGAAAACCCATGAAAACCCATGAAAATCATGGGAAAATCAAGGAATATCCATGAAAACCCATGATAAGTGGAGGTTTATAGATGGATATAGACGGGAAAGTCATCGATTTCTATTGCTGGTGGATTCTCCAGCAAGCCACGATTGCCGGAGGGTATGCCAACTGTAAAATCCATGGGTAAAAGTCATGAAAAAGTCAACCATGGAATCTTTCCCTTTGGATGTCTCATGTTGCCAGATTGCCGGAGGGTACCCCAACTGAGAGATACTCAGAGTATACTCAGAGTAGCTTCTCCTAGGGTGTGGATATAATTAAATATCAACTGTGGATGGAAGAAATCCTTCACAAATTTGTGTAGATGGTTTATCCTGTTATAATCCCATCGTCCAATAGTTACCAACTGCAGGATTTCTTCCATCCACAAATATATGTAATGTTTGGGGATCTTGTCTTGAACCTCAAAAAAAAGGTATATTCACATTTTTTCGGACGACAATCAGTTGGTAGGCTGAAGATCCAGACAAGGCTGCTTCCCCATCTCTATGTGCAAACAATCCACGAACATGGGACCATTTTAGTAGGTAGAACAGCAATGTTTTTTTGTTTGATCTATGTTCATCCATTTTCAAGAAACATCCTTAAGCGTTGGCAAGGCTTGCTCAACAGGGAAACAGCTGGGAACCACTGCCGCTTTCATTCTTTTACCTGCCGAGCAGCCAATGACACTCGCAAACAAAGGCTCTCCAATCTTTTGCAGATCGCAGAAACTGCCTGCATTCACTGCCTGACGCATCATGGACCGGACCGGACCTTCCCCCTGATTAGCATGATGCACTGCCCTGAAAGGACCAGCCCGTTACCAAGCAATTTCTTTTGGGCAGGTGCATTCCAATAATCTTGGGCCAAAAACAACACACAATTTCTGATTGATAACCCAGTTTCAGATAATCCAGTTTTTGGGAAACATCACATTGATAACCCAGTTTCAGATAACCCAGTTTCAACCAATAATATTGGGAAAAAGGTTCTCTCATCACCCCAAGTTTTGATAACCCAGTTTCAGAGCACGGGTCAAGTCCTTGAGTACACCCAGATGAGAACATAACACGGGCCATAACCCTGCAATGGATCTATGGCATGGTTTGGAGGGCCGAAACCAATTTTAAAATGGTTTCGAAGAAGAGATCTGAAACCCTGAGAGATCTGAACGCCGGTCAAATCCCCATTTCTGTTGCTGAATCCGCCTCTCGTTGCGTGGTGGTTTTTCTACGTTTCCGGTGTTTGAATCCAATTGTTCGTTCCCTTTTTCCCTTATCATGGCTGCTTGAAATCTATATACCCTCCGGACTTTTTCACAGAGTTGACATAGCGAAAATGGCCACATTGGCCACATTGAGTTCAATGATTTGCCATAGATTTCCCATGATTTAAAATAGATTTACCATCTGGTTATTAAACATAGCCATGGAAAATCACCATGTTTAATAGGTAAACCATCTATTTCTATGGGCCATTTTCCATGGCTATGTTAAATAACCAGATGGTACCATGATTTGCCTCTTGAAATGATGATGTTCCACATGAACTGCTGGTACCCCGGCGATCACCGAACGGTCCAAACCTGTGAAGCTTCGAAGTCCTCTTGCCGCAGCACGGCCACTTGACAGCTGGAACTCACCGAGGGCCTTGGAAACGTCACCATATCCTGTGCTTATCAATGTTTCAAAAAACGTCTTTGCGAGAAAATGTGGGTTTGTAAAACCCCCAAATTTGATGCTTAAATAACTATTATATATATATATATTAATTCCCAATTCCAATTGCTATTTTGAGGTATCCATGTATCCATGTATTCCCTTTTTTTGGACGGCTGTTGATCCCGCGATTCCCACAGGCGAGGTACAAGACATCGGCGCGGGATTGCAACACCACGATGTTCTGCGCCAACACACCGTTCAGAAGGACTTGTTCTGCATCCTGGGGCATCCCAAAGCGCAGAAGCCACGGCATGATAAAATATTGCAAGTAGTTCAATGGATTCGTGGCATTTTATGTAATTATAACTATATCTATTTATATAATTTCATATATCTATGATCTATATAAATCGTGGTATTTTACCCGGTATGTCTACCCCAGTCTTATTTGATCTGGGAAATACGTTGCGGAGAGCGTAGGAACATGTAGGAAACCATGACTTTTTGAAACTCCGCGGCTGGAAACGTAGCTCCCCAGGGGGGCCCAGAACCTCTCTCCAAATCATGGGGTTTGACCAAAAAAACCGTGATTTATCCATTTCTTTCACCCGAGTGATTGTTGGATTGAAATCTTGTGGGATAAAGTCTATTTTTTTGTCTGCGGTCCTACTTTTTGAGGTAGGAAATTCCGTAGAAAGTGGTCTCAAAAGGTATGATCAGCCACAATTACGTTTGATTTTTTTAGGTCTTTGGTCTGCGGGAAGCTGAAAACATCTGAGGATCTCTGTTTGGCAATTCTGCAATTGGAGTAGGGTAAAACCTGCGGTAAAACCTGGGTTTCGGAGCACACCCAGGAAATGTCCCTGATTTGGGGGCTTGAGGTAGCTCCTAACAGTTCCCTTTGTTTATCACAGGATGGTATGGGCATCCGCCTCAAGATCAGGCTTTTTCGGTGTTCTGAAAAGAACGCTGGATGATCATTGCTGCCCGACTGAAAGTGGCTGGGAACACTGGGAAGCCTCCGCGGCATGGATTTGGGTAGGCCATAAGTTTCCATAAGTGAAGTTTGAACTCCATCCTTGGTGGGGTACCTTTTAGAACAGAAGGGTTCCAATGGGAAGCAGTACGTAAATCAACTCGGCACATCTTCACAAAAGAGGGCCGGTACATGATTCATCAATTTTCCACACAGAAACAGAGAATAGTCCCGCTAGTCCCGGCGATTCCATATGGGTTGCCTTTCCAGATCTATGATCCAATGCAAAACATTGCAAAACTACAGGGATTCTACAGCTCAAAATCCTGGATCGGATATGTTTTCTTTAAATGGATTGGATGGCTTGCCAGCCACATCAGCCACAGGCCAAGTCCCCGGTTACAAACTAGAGCTGAGGAGCACTTCGATGTGCGCAAACCTTGTAGTTGAGTCGGATCACATCGTTCAAGTTGGAAACCTCTGCTTTGAAAGAGACTTGGGACATAAATGGTCCCATGTTTCTAGCTCCTTGTTGCCCATATTATCCCATATTCAGAAAATCTGAAAATATACCATGAAATCATCCTCCAGATTTTCTTGGGATTTCAGGTCAGGATATCACGATGGGACACCACAATTAAGGCACGAGGATTTCCAGTTTTGGCACGACATCGGTGAACATACTCTCGTAGCTTTGGCACAAGGGTTTCCAATGAATTTTTTTTGGAATTGGGAAACCATGTTGAGGATATTTCTGGATTATTTTGGTGACACGTACTCGATTTTCAACGAACTCCACAAAGGTCATCGCATTCCACCAAAAAAGATGCACGTAACTGAATCATCTTGGCACTGCACCAGCGCCATCTTGGCACTGCACAAGCGAAATCGTACCCCGAAAAACTATCGCATGCGTGCCGCAAAATCATCGCATGCCAAGATCGTTTGTCAAAACAATCGAACAATTGGCTCTGCAGCTCTTTTGTTGAACCGTGTCTGATAATGCTGGAATAGGGCGCAGATTTTTTTTATTGTTTTTTGCTTTTCAGTCTCGGGCACTTTTCCTTGCTATTTGCTACATTTTGGAGCAACAAACCTGTACTTTGCTGAATTTTCGAGCTAAAATGTGCCATTTGCACTGTTCATCGATTTTTGCCATAGTTTTAGCCGGTTTTTCTTAGTGTTCATTGATTTACCCAGAGTTTTCATCGATTTTGTCCATAGTTTTTCATTGAGTTTTCCGTGGTTTCAATCGAATTTTCCATGGTTTCGATCGATTTTTCCATGCATAACATGCACCTGGTGAACATGTAGAATATAAGTTGAAGCACAACCGTGTTGGGTCCAAATAGTGGCATTGGATGCTATCATAGTGTTGGTTGCTTTAGGGTTTATTTAGGGTTGGTTTAGGGTTGGTTTAGGATCATTTAGGATTGGTTTAGGGTTGGTTTAGGGGTTATTTAGGGTTAGTTTAGGGTTTATTTAAGGTTGGTTTAGGGGTTATTTAGGGTTGGTTTAGGGGGTTGGTTTAGGGTTTATTTAGGGAGAGTTATGTTGGGTTGGTTTATGGTTGGTTTAGAGTAATTTAGGGTTATATAGGGCAATTTATGGTTATTTAGGGTTGGTTTATGGTCGATTTAAAGTCTGTTGAGGGTTGGATTAAGGAACATGTAGGGATACAAGATGTGTAAACAAATAAAGAAAGATAGATAGATTGATTGATATATTGATATATTGATAGATTGATAGATTGATAGATTGATAGATTGATAGATTAGATAGATTAGATAGAATATATAGATAGATTAGAAAGATTGGATACATTAGATAGACCAGACTAGATAGATAAAATAGATAAGATAGATAAGATAGATAAGATAAATAAGATAGATAAGATAGATACGATCGATACGGTGGATAAGATGGATAAGATAGATAAGATAGATAAGATATATAAGATGGATAAGATAGATAACATAGATAAGATAGATAAGATAGATAAGATAGATAATATAGATAATATAAATACGGTGGATAAGAAAGATAAAATAGATAAGACAGATAAGATAGATAGGATAGATAGGATAGATAGGATAGATAGGATAGATAGCATAGATAGGATAGATATAATAGATAGAATAGAATAGGATAGGATAGGATCGGAAGATAGATAGATAGATAGATAGATAGATAGATAGATAGATAGATAGATAGATAGATAGATAGATAGACAGATAGATAGACAGATAGAAAGATAGGCAAATAGATTGATAGATAGAGAGAGAGAGATAGAGAAATAGAGACATGGATGGATGGATAGATAGATAGATAGGTAGGTAGATAGGTAGATAGATAGGTAGGTAGATAGATTAGTTTAGATTAGACTAGATTAGATTAGATTAGATTAGGTTAGGTTGATGAGATTAGGTCAGGTGAGATTAGATTAGATTAGGCTGAATAGATAGATTAAATAGATAGATGAAATAAATAGATAGATAGATAGAAAGATAGGTTAAATAGACAGATTAAACAGACAGATTAAATAGACAGATAAAATATACCGATTAAATAGACAGATTAAATAGATAGATTAAATAGATAAACTAAATAGATAGATTAAATAGATAGATGAAATAGATAGATTAAATAGATAGATTAATAGATAGGTTAGATAGATTAGATTAGATAGATTAGATTAGATAGATTAGATAGATTAGATAGATTTGATAGATTAGATAGATTAGATAGATTAGATAGATGAGATGTATTACATAGATTAGAGAAGTGGGATAGGTTAGATAGATTAGATAGATTAGATAGGAAAGATAAAACAAGATAAAACCATATAAAATGATATAATATTAGATAAGATAAGATTAGGTTTGGTTTGATTAGATGAGGTTAGATTAGATAGATAGACAGATAGATGTGAAGATAGGTAAAGCATGGTAAAGCCACAAAAGCCACACACCCACAAAAGCCACAGAAGCCACAGAAGCCACAAAGCCAGGCTGGAAAACAAAAAAACAAAAAATCACCCCCCAAAAACAACTCCGCTGGAATATGTTAAAAACCGCGTTATTTTTTGTTGTTTCGCAACTTTCGCGCAGTCCATAAACATTGACACAGTTGTAGCTGACATTTGCGGCGACTGCGCATTTGGGTGTACGATGTCCCGTTCATACCAAACCACCATTGCCAACATTGGGGATCTGGTTGGTGGTTTTTCCCTACCCCTCTGAAAAATGATGGAGTTCGTCAGTTGGGATCATGACATTCCCTATATGATGGGAAAAAGAACATTCATGTTCCAAACCAACATTGGGGATGGTTTCACCCCTTGAATCCCTTGAACCACCATGCACTTTGAATGCCCCTCGGCGTCACCCTCTAAGCTTTCTTGGAGGGTGCAGTTCCAATGTATATTTCACCTCAGTTCTGCAGCCCCAAGTAAGGAACATGTTTCAGAACCGCTGTTAAGTGCCATTACATACCATAAAAAAACATAATAAATAATAAGCCATTATGTTTGTTGATTACTATGGCATGTAATGGCAATTAGTAACCAACATTACAGGCTGTTAATTGCCACTGCAATATGTTTGTTGGTTATTCTTCTGTATACCATGTCTAGATCTGTCGAAAACTCCACCATGTCTAGCTGAAGAATTCTACGCATCTATGTGCACCTTTATCCTAGGCTATTCCGAACAATGAAATCCGATATATATATATATATATATACACAGTTTGTAAATATATATAAATTGAAATATTTGTACAGTATGTATATATATATATATACATACAGTATATATATATACACACAGTATATATTTATATGACTCATATATAAATATATACATATACAGTACAGTATTATATTACATATACAGTATATATATATATATACTGTATATGTATATATACATGTATATCGACATGAAATACCATGAAATCCCATTTTAAATCACCATTAAACCCCCCAACTGACAAAAAATTATATCCACCGGTCACCAGGAGTCATGCGAACCAAAGTCGGGGAACTGGAGATCCTAATCGACCTTCGACGACCAAAAAGGATGCCAGACTTGCTGTGTAGCCGCCTGTGGCTATCGACGGTGACGGCATAGAACATGGCAAATTTGGATGTCTAACATAGATATTTTGATACGTATATGTGATACATCAAGGTAATGTGTGTAATACTGTGAATGTATACATGTATATGTACTTTGTGCATGTGTATGTGTATGTATATGTAGAGTAGAATATGCATGTACAATCCATGTACAACCCAGGTATGATGACAATGATGCATAAAGTATGTGTTAAATACAGGCGTAATTTGCGCAACTGCATTTACAATTGATGTTGATATTTGTATGAATATATATATATACATATAGTTATACATATATGTATATATAATATATGTGTGTGTGCTTATATAAATTATATATATATGCATTGTGATATATATATAAATATGTATGTCATCCAATATGTTTAAACTATATAGTACACATGTACATAATATGCATTATTTATGCACGATATAAATATGATATACAGTTATGTGCATGTATACCTCAATTTTGGATTTTTAGACCAACAAGACAAAGTCTGCACCCCGCCACCAAGGAACCCTTCCCACCGTGTCTCCGAGTCACACACCAGCAGAATGAATAGAAATTGCAGTCCTTAAACGGAGCAACAGTCGACAGTCCCAAGGTGCAAGGCTCTGGATAATCGCCGTACAGGTCTTGAGATTTTCAGGAACATTTCAGATCTTGAAAATCAGGGGCACATTTTTTGGGACCCTACTGAAATCACGGTGACTTTCACTTTACATTTTTCTGATGCACTGCCCCAGGTTTGTTTCACCTGGGTCACATGTTGGTTTAGGTTCACCACACAGGTTCAATGTATCTGCCATAAAGACATCTGTGACATATTAATGAAATAAGCCAACTTATCTAGAATCTACCATTGATCAACTACAAATCCCTCTATTTTTTGGTTAAATTACCAAATTTCCCACATGTTTCATGTTTCAATCCCAACTTAGCAAACAACCTGAGGCGCCACCTTGTACTCGAAACTGTCGATTTGCGGGACACAGGAATCCTAAGTCGTTTTATTTTTTTCCAATACATATATGAACCAGGTCAATCTGGTGAATTATGATAACATTCCAAATATGTAATCAAGTTATTTCGTATCATTTATTACGCAATTTCTGGCAAAATCTATCTTTTTCCTAGATTTCTGTCGATTACCATGTCCCCAGGACCCACAGACTTATGGCCCTTTACCAGTCGTAAGTTATAATAAAAAACTCCATTTATGGAATAATGACCCTATTATAACCATATAGAAATAACTATATCCTAAAAAAATAACCATAGAAATCACTGGTTGGTATCGGGCTGCCACGGTGCCTTAGTCCCTTCAACGCGTCGCCAAAAGTCCCAAGGAAACGATCCGACCTCCCACGGTCTTGGGATCAAAGCACACCTGAAACGTCACCAGTCCGAGCCTTAGATCCCAGGCTTCTCACCCCTTGCAGACCCGCTGTGGACATAAGCCATTAATCTAACTGAGAAACAAAACATGGTATAGTATATATATATATATTTGTATATGGTTATTGGTTATATATATATATATATGTATATATACACTATCTATATATCCATACTTAATAATGGAACTGCACTCTCAAACAAGAAGTATTTACCTACATTTGGGTCATTGGTGGAAAATGTTGGTAAATCGTCCGAGAAAAAAAGGAACATATTTTCTCTAATGTTCCCCTTAGACTGGTACCCTCCAGTTATAAGATACTTTATAATCAACATGAACTTTGGAAAGTACCTCCATAAATCCTATATAGTTAAACCATGTTAAACCAAGTCAGCTATCGAGCGGGCCCCCCACATTGTCCCAACCAAACCCAGCCACCAGGCTTGGTAAAGGCCGTCTCCCAGAGATTCCCCGAGCCTCGGAAACGAACGATCGCGGGGCTACAATGTGGGGCCCCCATTGGATCGCTGTTTGTTGGTTTACCCTCTGGTAAACTAACATAACTATGGAAAATCACCATTTTTAATTAATGGGAAAATTCACTATAACTGGCCATTTTCAATAGCTATGTTAAATTACCAGAGGGTAGTTCACTATAACTAGAACTGTTGGGTTGATTAGGGGCATATATCGAACTGGTTGGCTGGCGGCTTCTAGAACGCCGCCAGCTTTCGTGTGCTTTCGTGCCTGTGGGGTGGGGTGGGGTGGGGTGGGGTGGGGTGGGGTGGGTAATAACGTCTTGTTCACACTGCTTCTAACACCCTCTTGCTGCTAGGCTCTTCACTCCTTGTGGGGTGGGGTGGGGTGGGGTGGGGTGGGTAATAACGTCTTGTTCACACTGCTTCTAACATGCTCTTGATGCTACGCTTTTCACTTCTTCACGTACCTTACAACACGTTCTTGATGCTACGCTCTTCACTTCTTCACGTATCTTCTAAGACGCCCTTGGTCGAAATAATGTCTATAGAAATTTGACTCAAGTGCTGAAACGCATCAAACAAAGACTTGGAAGTCTGACTGACAAAAAGTTTTTTTTTAGTAGTTTGTCGCAGGATTTAACAGGGTCAAAAAAAAGGACCCAGACGCAAATCCTTGAGAAAACACACGCAAAATGAACTCGCCACCGTTGGAAGAACAGGCGGCGTTCTGGCAGCCGCTTACCAACTAGGTAGATGGGGTTACCAATCAATTTATAAGTAGGGGTCCCCGCGAACTAGTGAGCTGGGAAGCAAACATGAAAAGTATTGACTGACTCAACAGACTCAACATAACGCAACAACAAAGCTTGGGGTACTGACTTTAGTCAAGAAAACCATGTTTGCATTGTATATTTTGCATGAGCCCAAGCAATATGATGCAATATGAATATTCTGGCCACCAAATTTGGGTTGTTACTAACCAAAGGATGTAACAATCAACATATAGGGCTGTACATGGGCATGCCGACAACACGCGGGGTCTCAAAAAAAACATGCAGGGTCTGTTTGAACACACACCCAAATCTCTCCAAGCCCTTCTTCGATGTGCATCCCAGGGTTAGTAAGTTGGTAAGTGGGTAATAGAATATATTGTAATAATTAAACAAACATATTATCAGTATAACTCAGTTTTCTACAAATGCGTATTATACACGGAACTATCAATTAATGTATACATATATAGTATCTATGTAGAATAAGAAACTCATAGATCTATATGTATAAATATAAATATGTATAAACACACACACATATATATATGTATATATATATATTATGTAAAATATAGTGTATATATATATAAATGTACGTGGGATACACCCACAGTGGACTGTACGGGTTACCACGACTGCTGTAGGTCCGCCCATTGATCAGAAAATCACCGAAGCTCGGAAGCGACAGCAGTTGGCTGCTGCCCACATATTCACTGCAGTTAGGGCCATGTATTAGTTATAACATGTTATAATCAATGGCCATTCCAGGAACCTAAATTGGAGGTACCTACCATATATAAGGCCTATGCAAGGGAATATTCCCCCAAAATATGGCCTTATATGGTACAGTACCTCCATTTTAGGATCCTGAAATTCCCATTGATATAACTGGTTATAATAAGTACTTATATATAGAACTGGTAAAGGGCCAAAACTGTGGATGGGTTGAAGGGGAAAACTCCATGTTATTGGCCGCAGGTTGTAATAAAAACCATGCAAGTATGGTGATTTAACCCCCAAACAAAACAGGTTTTCCTGCATTTGTTTTTCCCTTGAAGCAATCCACAAATAAAACCAAACAACTATGGAATGATATGACGCAGGGTGACATCATTGATGCAAATATGGTAGTGGACATACATGGACATACAACATATTGCAAGATATTGCCTTTAAAATCGTGTTGATAGTTGACAGTTCAAAATTTTGCGCATACATGCAAATACTACTATCAACACTCATTTGACAACACCACTGTTTGGAGAACATGTTAAGTAGTGTTTGCATCACTATCATATTATATGCACCCAAAACACATATTGAAAAGGATTTGAAGTTGCAGGCCGCATTGATACATATTGATACGGGAGAGGATAGGGGAGAGTCTACCCTTGCACGGAATCAGTAGGTATTCAAGTAGATGTTTAAGAATTGGAGAGGTGTATGATCACTGATCAGTTCCTTCCATCAGATGTGTAGTGGAACATGAATGGGAAACCGGGATAATCACTGCATGGGGGGAAAAACAACTAAATTATCTCATGTCTTGTCCCACAATAACTGATAACCCAGTTACTTATTGTGAGATAACCACTATAACTGGGATTTCTACTGGGATGTATCGTGTCCCAACTTTACTAAACCCCATGTTTCGAACAAATCCGAAAATGGGATTCATGAGGACCATCTAAAAAAACATCGCCGTTCAAGCAGCTCGGACTGGTTGAATTGTCCATGTTCTTGCCGTTCAAAGATAATGATCGTCGACGACAGCACCCTGAGTGGCGCACTGGCGCAGTGGCGACTTTGAATCCATCAGACCGGCCAAAACTGTCCTGCTTCCAGCGGTGTTGCTGTTTTTTGTTTCACCAAACTGTGCCAGTCAGTATCAACATGGCAGAATGCCAGTACTGGGCCAATACCAATATTTAAAACGTTTGAAAACAACAGGAAGGACTCAAGGTTTCGGGAACTGTTGGATTTGCTGCTTCTCTCCCATGTATTGGACATATCGGTTGCTAAGCCGCAAGACACTGATTACCTCAAGGGATTTTGCGGCGGGGGCCCTGCGAAAATATATTCAAACTATTGTTAACCTACCTGGGAGTGCAGTTCCATGTATAATCATCCCGGCGGGTTGTTTATCGAACCCGCGTTTTCAACGTTTGCAGTGTTCGTCATTGATTTCATACCACAAATCACAGTGGTTTTGCATCTCTCTCAAAATTCAATTTCCTTAAGAAGTACGCGCGTACTTTTCACTGGATATGTAAAAAACCTCAGCGGCACTCTCTTTTTTTCTGCGCTAAGTGTTCTTCACAATTTCTGCAGTGAGCTTGGAGAGGTTTTTGTGGGAACTGTTTTCCCATCTCCACTGCCAAGCGCGCACATGCGTCCATATCTTGCCATTGAGCAAGACTAACGTAGACTAACGTAGCATCATATATGTGAGGAAGTGCAAGACGACATACAGTAGCGTTGCATCATGTATGTGAGGAAGTGCAAGACGATGTACACTAGCGTAGCATCATATATGTGAGGAAGTGCAAGACGACGTGCAGCAGCATAGCATCATGTATGTGAGGACGTGCAAGAAGACGTACAGCAGCGTAGCATCATGCATGTGAGGAAGTGCAAAAAGACGTACAGCAGCGTAGCATCATGTATTTCAATGTATTTCAGGCAGTGCAAATGAACGCTATTACCCCACCCCACCCCACCACGTTAACCCCATGAAAGACATAGAAACATGCAAAACGCTGGTTCGGTTTTCAACCCGTAGGCATAATCATAGATATACCACAAGGGATATCCACAGTTATACATCTGGGCAAATTATAATAATTCACTAAACAGCACATCCAGGCAGACATGTGTCAACGACTGTATCAGAAAAACCTCAAGCTTTGCGGTGGCTTTTTCATACACTTATGGTCCTTACAGTGGAGGGCTGAAGTCAGAGCAATTTTCTTGAATGTTGATAAACCGCTTGCGGAAAAGTCGCCACGGCCGGGTCACAGGAGGGTCACAGCAATCCATCAAAACACAAGGGCATTGCCTTCATTTGAAGGATACAAAAGTACCAGCACAACAAACACGAGAGAGCCGACCCAACGCACTGCAGACTACTCTTCTGCCAGCACTACTTTGCATTACAAACAATTATTCTGCCAGGATGGTTTGCTTTGAGAAGGAGTAACAAAATGAAAAGAGAAGAAGAAGTGACATTCTGTGAGAAAGCAAGAGAAGAAGATAAAAGAAGGAACAAAAAAAAGAACAAAAATGAAAACAAGTGCTGAAAATACAACCGAACGACCCCCCGAACGACCCCCGGACGACCCCCCCCAAACGACCCCTGATTCATGAGTTGTCAAACGCAGGCCCCAGGGCCATCATTGACCACAACATGAAGTGCGCAACTCCCTGCGCCACCGCGCCCCTTCTTCATCCCTGACCATCAAATAAAGAAGATGAACCTCCCTCCCATCCAAAAGAGGTATGTAAGAGGAATGACCAAAGGGACGTTTCCCTATGTAAGCTAAATATGCTGGAACAACCTCAGCAAATCAGCAAAAAATATGTAGTATGGTCAACCAAGAATCCAACGGAAATACATGGATTTGACCCACAAAAGCCTCTAAAACGACTCAACAAATCATTGCAAATCTCATAGGCGCAGCCACAATCGCTACGAAGAGCTTCGCCCAATGGTATGGACTCAAAAGCAAAGAATCGCTACGACTTTGACCCTTGACTGTAACAGTTATAAATTGGATTATAAAATATTATAACATATTATAACTCCTACACATAAGGGCTATATTCTGTATCATTTAAATGGGGTTAAAAACCAGTTGTAACTGCTAAGGGTCACAACTGTAGTTCAAAATCATTTGGTTTGGGTCATATGGCAAGAAACAAGGTCACGCCCCTGAAAATGGCCCCGCTGTTTAGCGCAGATTTTTCTAAAAATGCGGTATGCTCTCGCGCCGTTTTGTGAATTTGCACATGTGTCTTTTATCTTTTTCATGTCCGAAATCATGAAACAGTAGTTTTATGTAGTTTTCACGACCCGCCTGCTTTCACCTTGCCATGTTCATCTGCCCACTGTAACCCAAGGTACACAGTAACACAAAGCACCGTGAGCCACAGCATGGGGCTGAAGGGTCGGAAGGCTGCTCCAATCATGGACCCGAAATCCGTGGAAGGCCTTGGTTTCGGAGATGTTTTACCTTTGCCTTTATCCCATGGAATTATCTGAATGCAGAACTGGGACAAAAATGTTGATATCCGGTTGGCGCATGGGTTTGGACATGTCTGGACATGGCTTACCCAAGCTTATTTGCAATTTGCGAAAACTTGGTTTAGCAACCACTGGATTTTGGTGTACCACTTGTTTTTGGACAAACCACCATGGTTCTACAACGCTCTCTCTCTCTCTCTCGATGTGTATGTATATATATATATATATGTAGACACCACCACATATACATCCAGATACCTGATGCAATGCGATGTGATCATGCAAAGTTGATTCCAAAATTTGGGAGTCAGAGCAGTCTCAGACAGATGGGGCGAACAATCTTACTGTTGAGATTTTCACTCCTCCCCATAAATGGCACAGAGGTTGGTGCTATTTCATCCTGAGTCAACTGCCAACGACCACGATGCAAATTCAAACTACTGAAAACACACTATGACTTGGGATGACTTTCCGGATAAGCGCCCAACCATGCTGAAGTGAACGTTTCGAAAACGAGAAGTGGCTTCGGGGGAAATGAATAGGTGTGAATGACTGACTGACTCCATGTGACTGTCTCATGTTTGGAGGCTTGGTGACCCAATCCTACTGATGGACTGACCCCAAGTTCTTTGAGCCAAGTCTTCGATAAGCCCGAAACAGTTTCCACATAAGCAGTGCACATCCGGATGTATGCCATAGCATATGTATACATTACAATACACACACTCACACCCACACACATGAATTTCAAAGATCTGCAGGTTAAATGCCAATGTTTGCCGTTTAAATCCCCATCTGTGGTGGAACAATCATCCTAGCCTATTAAAAACTGTTCCAAGTAGCTTTGCTTGCACCACAGGCCCCACAAGCACCGTCGGTTCGGTCCACAGCGTCACCTCAGATGTTGCCATAATATGCCGTAATCACATAGCTAAGTGGCTAAGTGCTTAGTATAGGTTATCAGGTTACAACTGGTTTGTAAGTAACCATTTCAAACTTCGATGTATTGGGACACACAGTCACAAGAGGTCCTCCAAGAAATCAGAAAATCACACAACACAAATATGTCAGAAATGTCTTTGTTTCCTTATAGTTAGAACATGTGAGAAATGTTGGTCTATTCTGTCAGCACAACAGTAGAAAGTAAAAGTGAAGGGCAAGGCATGTTTCGAAGGGAACCTGGTCAATGGTTCAACGCAACAAACATCGGCTTTGGCGGCCTGAACATTGGTAACCGTGGGCACGTCAAGAAAATTGATGCCAACTTTGAGAAGCTCATGTCAGGTACGTTTGGGATGGCCATGTTAAAATATCTGATCCTGCAGATTCTTTGATATCTTTGATGGCCATTTGATACGGTCCCATTTCCAGGCACCCATATGGCACATGAATTCCATCGCCCAGGCAGGATGCCCTGTTTACAAAACTGGTTGGTGGTTTTAACCATCTTGAAAAATATGAGCTCGTCAATGGGAAGGATTAACATCCCATATATTTTGGAAGAATAAACACATGTTTGAAACCACCAACCAGTTAAATATCCATTTCCCTATGGTTTTCCTATGGTTTTCCTATGATCATGGAGGGATTTAGCTGTGTAACCAATCCCCCAACAGTGAAGCGCCAGCTGGCTGATCATGTCTGCTTGGTGGTCGAGATTCGCCACAATGCCGGTGACTGGTGGTACACCTACATGTATAAAGACCTCGAAATAATGTAGGTTGAAATAATCAATATAATGTGTTTCAACCTAGAAATAATGTGCTTCAACCATTTTTTGATCATCATCCAGTTTTTCCCAGATTAGCTCACCATGGTGCTGGGATATAAAAACCTACAATTGACTGGGTGATTTTGGACAAGGGCAACTGCTGGTAAATATTCCAGCACCATGAAGCATCTGGGAATATTGATTGTTATATATCCCATGAAATATCCCGATATTCCAAAATCTGGCTGAACATGGCTGAACTATAACACCAAGGTCGAAATATGCCGATATTCCAGCACCAAAATTTTGCAAATGGGATTGGAAACAAAAAACACAGCAAATCGGCGAGGCACAAAGTGGCTGGCATCTGTGCGGCGTGGAACCATGAGCATCGAACAAACACCTGAGACATTCCAGGGCTGAAAACATGTCAATATGAAGCAATTGCAAGCAGCATAGATATGTATACAACTTATAAATATGTATATATATATAAGCTTACACACAGGCTTATAGTTTTCCCTCGTGCAGTATAGATAGAAAATTACATTAAAAAGAATCAAGCAAGTAGGTAGTTTACAGTTTTGAACATTTCCAAAAATAAAACAGAGTTCTCCATGTGTAGATGCTTCATCTATGGTGGGCTCGGCAAAACATGTTGCCTTTCATGCAAAGGTCGACAAATGGCTACCCAACAACATGCTAAGAGCGAGGGCAGGTAGAGATTGTTTTTCATTGTGATTGGCAGAAGCAACCACTTGCATCTGCTGCGGCAGCAATGAAGCAAACTGTTCCACTCATTGGATTCACTCTTTGCATTCATCGACCCAGCGACAAATTTACATACCACTAGCAATGGACATGGCCAAAGTGGGTGGTCCTCTACCGGTTGTGAAGGCTTGTACTTCCCATGCTATGTGTAAAAACATGGTATCGGTGGGTGGTCGGTTGTGAAGGTTTTCACACTAATTTGAACATCATTTGAACATTCCAAGTCCACTCCCTACTACTTTAGTCTTCCTCGAGTTTTCTCGGTGACTCATGTGTTGCGGCAGTGACTCATGATTCTCTGTGTGATTGGCTGGTCTGTTGTTCCCGTCCCTAAGATGCTTATTCTCTGAACAAAATGATTTCCCAAAAGACACTCCCAAAACAAATGACTAGTAGTAGGAATCCAGATCTATGTCGTCCCTTTCTGGTGGTTGGAACGCAGCCACTGCTCAAACTGAAGACATGTTCTCATGCCATACCAATGTGTTTGAAGGCTCATTTGGGTCCAAATAAGGCAAAGAAATGGTCACAAGGAAATATAAACTATATTAAGATTGGTCCACAAAGGCTCTGTGTTGCAGCCCAAGGTACAAACGTCCAACAAACCCATTCCCGTGGCCCACGTGCCTTAGATTTTTGGTCATGGATGCACAAGTAAAGTGATTGTTGCAATGATTCTGCATGAATCCTGCATTCCTACTGATCTTACGCATGATTCACAAATAAGTTCAACGATTGTTTGTTTATTTTTTTTTGGCGGGGGGTTGCTGCCCCTTATTGTGCAAAGGTCAGCCAGGCCGCAGCCAAAATGGTCATGGCTGGAAAATCCCATCGGTATGAGCCAATAAAAAGCGGGAAATCGATTTTTTTTGCCATTGAAAGGCCATGAAAGGCCCATTTAAATCCATAGTTCAGGGATTTCCCAGCCACATTTGATCACGGGAGGGTGAACTGCAAAAGAATTGGCATCCATCCCTCCAAGTTTGATCATCGTAGTTTTGGGCAACATCAACAGATTTGAAACCGCCAGATCGGTATCCCGTGAATTGTGTCCCCTGTATGGTTTAGGAGACGTGGAATTTCTTGCGGAGTGACCAGCTGCTGATCAGATCTACCAAGTTGCTTGCCCTGTTTTGTAAAGCATTTCTATGTTAGATCTTCTACCAACAATAATATGCCTGAAGCCACAAAAAATATCAAGTACATATAGGTTCCTATTTTTTTATCTATGTTTAACGTTTAATTACCTATGTTTGCCTGCAAAAAAAATCCAAAAAACATCCCACTGTGCCAAGGTTCAAAGATCAAAGGTGGAACCGCCTAGCTTCAAGGCTGCAACTTTAAGGAACTTCAATGGGACATCTTGGTGCTGATTTAACCGTTAATATTACAGTAACATATATTAACAATGAATGATGTTTTATGATGTTTTATGATGTTTTAAGATGTTTTATGATGTTTTATGATGTTTTATGATGAATTATGATGTTTTATGATGTTTTATGATGAATTATGATGTTTTATGATGTTTTTCCTCAGTAAATTATAGCCAATGACTAAAACACTAAGTCTCCATGCAGCCGGTTTTTCTCCGGTTTTTCGGCTTTACCGCCAGGGGATTGGACATATGCAGCCGACTGCCAGCTGGTGTCTGAGAATATCGTACCTTTAAAACCAACTGTTTCATCATCATTTTCACTACCAAAAAAACGCCGTTCGGAAGGGATTGGACATATGTACTTAAATGATCTTAAATGGCATTCCCATTTTCAGACACAGCCATGACCGGAGATTGTCTCAATTGTCTCCATGTATTGCATATTTACCTACATGTGCACCAAACATGTACGAGTAGGTGAATGTACAACACGGATGGTATGCATACCATCTATGACCTTTGATCAGCCACGATAAGTCCCACACATCTCATGCACTGCCCATACATCGAACATGGCGCCCGGGATGCAAATGGGAACCGGGGTCCCATCATTGGGGTCCTTCGCCAATCCGTCTTGGCTGAGTGGCCGTGAATTGCGAAGAAACATGAACGACAAAAAACCCAAACACAAAGGAAATTTGTTTCTCCAAACACAATGCCCCCTGGTAAACATACAGAAAACTATGGAAAATCGCCATTGTATAGCTGGGTAAATCAACTATTTCAATGGGCCATGGCTTCAATAGCAGTTGTGTTAAATTACCATATGGGAAAAAAAAATCAAGCATTCGCTGATTGTCTCAGGGCTAAAAGAGATGGAATGCACCATACATCCTGACACTTCATCTGGCACATATTCTGACATTCTATATGGCATCCTGGCATTCTATCCTGGCATACTATTGGACATCCTATCTGACCTACCGACCTACTATTGCAATCTGACATAAATTCTGGCATGAAAAAAAGGCATCCTACCTGACATATATTCTGACATATTCTGACATTCTATCTGACATTATTCAGACATTATATCCTAAACACGCTCTGACATGTTATTTGGCATTTTCTGCTGGGGTTTCATCTGGCATTCTATCTGCCGTTTGACTTATCTTACATATACTCTGACTCTGACATATACTCTGACATTTGGCAAATTATCTGGCATTCTATCTGACATTCTGTCTGGCATTATATACTTGACATTTAATCTCATATGTATTCCGACAATCTATCTGACGCATATTCATTCTGACATGACATTTAGCTGGCATATTATCTGCCATTATAGCTGGCACTATATCTGACAGTCTAATTCTAACTCTAACTGACATATATTCGGACATTTGTCTGGCATCATCTCTGGCATTTTCGTTGGCATTCAATATGCTGACATCGATTCTCTGGGATAATCTGACACATTCTATCTGGCATTCTATCTGACATATATTTTGGCATTCTCTCTTCATACGGTTCGGGTCCGTAGAGTAGAGGCCCAGAGAGCTGGCAAGCTCGCCAAAGTGTTCGTAGAGGCCCAGAGAACTGGCAAGCTCGCTATAGGCTATAGAGTGGCTGTGTAGAGGTGGCTGGCAAACAAGCTGGCGACATGTGATGGTAGGGTGTAGGCATCTGGGTGTGTAGCTCTTCTCTCTCTCTCCAGGATCCTTTGTTAAAATCTAGAGACCTAGAGACCCTCACCTGGCAGGTGGGGAATGATGTTATTCAAGGCAGTTCGAGGGGTCGCGAACGCGTCCCTTGGCGAGGCATACCAGTCGCATACCCATGTCATTCGCATCATTTGGATTCATGTGGCTGCTTGTTCGAAATGTCACGGTCCCCGAACTGTCACGGGAGGGAAAAAAACTGCCAACCAAGTTCGACCAAACATGAATTATCCACAATATCCCTTTCCCCCTTACTATGACTATGTGTAAAACATATTATGTGCATGTATATTTGGATTATATATATAAATATTAATGTACTTGTGTTATGTATATAATTTGATCTGCCCCCACTTCCTTTCGAGGCTCAGCTCCACCGATCCCCACCTGGTTTCACTCGTTGCATCTGCTCGAGCGCCGCCAGTGGGATCTCCTGCAGCTGTTGCGTCTGAAAACCCGCGGAAGCCGTCAGCAAGTCGAAGGCACGCTGCGTGGGGCCAGTACCTGCGGCGTGTTAAGCCGGCCCAAAACGATGAAGGGAAAACCATGTAGATATCTATATAGTATCTGTTTATGTGCTTTGTTATAATAGTATGTATATAATACATACATAATTATATGTATTTACATGTTATATCCATATACATATACATGTTAATGCCACGACCGGATTAATAACCCCCCCCAGAAGGTAGGGGGGGTACCTTCTGGTTAGTTTTCTTGACCACCCCTTAATAATAAGCAATTCTGAACCATAAAAATTTGGATATGGCTTACGTCAATTAGATCTTAATAGAATTCTATTGGATTTGTAAAAATCCCATGGATCAGAAAGGTGGTTGATTAATCGGGGGCAAACCCTGGTTATTATTAATGGGGGACATGGGCTCATGGGGGGTACCCTTTGGGAGCTATCCAAACTGATGATTTTTAAAAAAAATGAATTAGAAATCGACCATTTGGGGAATAGTCGTGTTTTGAAATTTTCAATGATCAACTTAAACCTTAAGTATAACAATGATGATAAAAAAAGGCAAAAACAAATTGGAAATAAATAGAATTGGAAATAAAAATTGTTGGATAAAAAAAATGGATTTCAGCACTGGTTGTTGATTAATCGGGGGTAGGCCAAACGGTTTATTAATCAGGGGGACCACCTGTTTTTAAATCATATGCCATTTTTTTTTGGGCAGTGGTGGTTGATTAATCGGGGGGATTATTAATCCTCACTTGACATTATATATATATATATGCTAGCAATGTTGATTGGATAATGGTATACCCCAGATTATCCACAGCATATGTATCTTACATGAAAGGACAAAATGTTGGGTAAATGTTGGAACATGTACGGGCACTATGGAGCATATATGGATATGATTGGATATGTATCAAGTATGGATGTAAGACATGAAGTTGAGATAATGGGAATGATAAGTACTTGTGGCTTGGTCAATTTAAAAGTAAAGCATGTCAGGTACAGGGTGATATGTACATACTATGGGTCGTGCAAGAAAGAGGGCTGCTTGACGAGGAAACTGAGGGATGTAAACCAGCGCAAATGTGAGACTATCACAGTTTGGATTTGATTTGGGTGCAATATGGTTACCTTGCCAATAAAAAGAATCAACTTGGAGGTAGCTGTGGTATGCCCAAACTTTGGGTGCAATATGGTTACCTTGCCAATAAAAAGAATCAACTTGGAGGTAGCTGTGGTATGCCCAAACTTAAACAGGTGCCGCTGATCAGTTGGACCATCACTTGCACGAAACGGCACACACACCAAAGGGCGAAAGGCGAAATGGAACAGTGGCTGGGGTCTATAACTCCAATATATCAAGGTTATGTGGTTTTAGAATCCAGCGAACCATTTATACAGCTGTAGTCCCAAAAAACATCCTAAAACAAAAGCCGTCCATACTTCAAACTGGACGCCTCGGTTTAAGCAAAGTTGACCTCTGGTGCAATAGTTTCCTTTCCTCAGGAGCCACGGGACCACTGTTGTGGCAACTGGATCCAAAGATTCCGGGGAATACTGTGCCCAAACCCGGAAGATGTCATGCGCACACAAATCCTCAACAGAACTGACAATTCTCATTTTGATCGATATGTTTTCCGTCTGCGGAAGCAAAGAACTTGGAGACAACACCAACTATACCATGGAAAATTCAGTGAATCTGATCAGCTGCGCCGGATGGTCGGATGGTGGCTCAAGGACCTTCCGACCCCATCAAGATATTAAAATATGTTGGATCTGCATCCCAGGCAAGACCGGCCGGCCTGGAAACCCGTAGTACATGTGAAACATGGTGAAACTATATCAAATACACCTGGGTGCACATCCAAATAAGACTTAAATATTCAGAACCAACACATCAACAACGAAACTCCCCCAAAACCCCATCGTACCCCCATCCGTAACCTAGATATGGCAGCTTTGCTGGACATGTCCCCCATGTCCAAGGGGACTTCGATTCCCAGCTATCGCCATGTCTCCAACCTCCCGTGTTCCCGATAAAGACCACCTTCAAAACCTTGCCACGGATACTTTCCTCGGGGCCAGGGGGGAATCGGCAGAAAATGAGACGGAAAAGCCATCATTGAAGTGCATCATGGTCCTAGGCAAAGCAAACATTTCGCGTTCTCCATGTTTTGACTTTTGAAAGTCTAATTAGGATGTGCGTGTGTGTAACCAAGAATGACTGAACCTCAAGCTCCCAGGGACTTAGGTTTTGACTATCATATATATATATATACACACAAATATCGCCCAAAAAAAACACAACTATCCAAAATGTCAGCGGGCTGATGTTCAGCGAAAAGAATGTAAATTCCGGACCAAAACCTTCATCAAAAATAAAACATGTTATGTAAATTGTTGTTTCAATGTTGTGATGGGCCCTTGCCGATCCCACGAATACATCGTGTGACCGTGAAATCTCAAAGTTTCCAGATCCTTGCAAGAAAACTGTACCGCCAGGAAAATCCAGAAATTTCCGCTTTTGTTTCGGATGGGTTTTGGGGCCTTAAACCAATTGTTGCAAGTAACAGGCATGCCATGGGCCACTTACGGAATTCATCAAACACAAAGTGAGCACTCCCTACTAAAGAGGTCCTGTACCTCATATGGGTGTTCTAGATAACCCTTCATTTATACTCATTGCAATATGGCAAGATGATGGTGAACCAGTGAATTGAATGGGATTTTCTCCATTTTTTTTAAGACAAACCCAGATGTTGGGTTTAACCCATTATGGTTATCCCATTGCATACCCAATACCCAATACCCAATATATATATATATATATATATATAAATTTGTATATATATTTCGTTGGTGGTTTCAACCCCTCTGAAAAAATATTAATCAGTTGGGATGATGATTCCCAATATATGGACAAAAACAACAGTGCCAAACCACCAACCATATTTTTATATATATATATATCCCAATCATCTCCCATCTTGCTGTGTATGCTCAATGGATCCCGCATATTTTTTCCTTAAGTGCCTCCCAGAGTTCCGTGATGTTGGACAGGGAAAATAGATCTCGATAGCCTATGGTGCCGCGGCTCATTTTCGCCGCGGCAATGGGCCAACATGGTACTGGATCATCTGGATAAATTTAGGGTTGGGATAGGCCCTGCAATGTGGGCCCCCGGGGGATAGATCATGATATATCCGTAGTAGATGAGCTTATAAACCAACTTGTAACAAGGGGGCCCACTATGTTTTGGTGTCCGGAGACCAAAACGGCGACTAAATCAATACGATACATGCAGGACCCCAGCACAGTTCGATTGCGCAAGCGAACAAACCAGCAAACAAAACATTGGCAAATACACCGATGAATGACACATAACTTAGTATATACAACTTACAAACATTCTGGGCAAATACAATACCATGATATTTCCATATTTCCCAGAAGTGAAACCGGCGTTTGGGTCGTTCGCCCTTCTCTACACTCTGGCGAAGCAAGGATGGCAATGAAAGGAACTCCCCGGATGTACCCTTTGGAGGTTTCAATGGAAGAATTACCGAGCTAAGTGGGGATTTTCCAGCAAACCATGGAGCTAATGTGAAGTTTCCAGAGGGAAGTGCCATGTATGGAGGGTAAAAAGGTGGGCAAATCTCCATGGGCATCTGCTCCCTTCATTGCAACCCCGGTGGAATAGCGCCCCTATGGGTCAAATGTTGTGGCAATCCATTCTTGTTAAAAATTACATCACTGTTGGCCAAATCAACAATTTTGTTGGTTCTATCAAGATGCACATAATTGAAAATCAAACCCATATAAATATATATATATACACACCACATATATATATATATATACCAGTAGTACCCGCACAAAGCGGGGCGGAAGTTGCCTTGGGGATATACTATACGACCTTTCTCATCTATAGAACTTGCATGCGCCGTGTGCCAGCCAGGCCCGTGCGTGCGTGCTTTGTGCGAAGCTGTTGCGCAGATGTTGTCCAAGAACATGACCTGCGCACGACCCCTGCGCAATGCAACGCCAAGCAAACACTTTCCTCACACTTCACACTGCACTCTTCACACTTCACACTGGCACTTCACACTTCACACTTCATCTCATCTCAGATCATGTGAGCTCTTCTCACCTCATCTCACCTCATCTCAGCTCTTCTCATCTCATCCCATCTCCTCTATTCTCCTCTCACATGTCATCTAAGAAAGTTCTTCTCAACTGTTTTCATCTCATCCGAGCACTGATCAACCTTTCTCATCTCCTCGAAATTCTTCTCAACTCATCTCAGCTGTTCTGCACGCCAGAAAGCTCTTACTGTCAGCACACAGAAGCTTGAGACACAATGCATTTACACTTTACACAGGAAAAGCCTCTAGAAAGTATCTTTGTACTACAAAGCTTAGCTCATCTCCCCAGTTCTTCTGTATCCTAAAAAAGTTTCGTTAATACACAAAAGCTCTTGTGCAATTTGCACGCCTAGACCATATTATATTTACAGTATTGTGGTAACTCACGCGATATGTTCATGCATTGCAGCAAATCTTAACTACAGTATATCTTATGTTAATTGTAATCTGTCAATCAGACACACACACACACAGTCCAGCATCAACAGCTGCATGCTTTTTCAGCATTGTACTATGTCTAGGTTTTGGCAGCTCTTTTGGCCCGTACTGGCACGAAAGGCTGGACAGCGTGATTCGCAAACACTAGTTGGCGGTCTGGGTGCTCGTCATGGCACTTCCGCAGCGACGGAGTTGCTAAACGCAATAGAACTACAGGCAACGGCGTCGGAAATTGCAGCTGCAAAACCGACGCCGTTGCGCGTATTTTTTTTGTGCTTTGCAACTCAGTCTCTGCAGATCGCATTGTAATGGCTGCGTCAAGGTTGCTTGGCGCCGCGGCTGCGTACGTAAAAACTACTAGATTGTCTTTTGCAGCTGGACATCGTAAATCGTATTGGAGTGGCTGCATCAAGGCTGCGATCGTGAATTGTCAGCAGATTTTCTTAATTTTGGTGCTGGTAATTTTCCTTTTCAACAACAGATTCAAGAAACGCATAGAACTACGCACACAGGAACAACCACTCGTTGCAGAACACAGTGAACACAGAGGAGGAAACGATCATGCTCGGAACGACCGCAGGCGCAACCGCCGCACACAGGAGGTACCTTTCATCGCCGCCTGCAGCCACTTTACACGGAAAAACACAAGCTTTCGTGCTCCGGCTTCCTCCCCAACACAAGCCCCATGCAACATTCATGCAGCCATGAGAATGCATTTTGCAGCATCACATAGCAAACCTGCATCTGTCTACGCACATGGCAAAACCAAATGACAACAATCATGCAACAAAATTCCAATGGGACCGGCAACCACGGATTCAAGAAACGCAAAGAACTACGCACACAGGAACAACCACTCGTTGCAAAACACAGAGGAGGAACCGAGTATGCTCGGAACGACCGCAGCCGCAACCGCCGCACACAGGAGTTACCTTTCATTATCGCCGCCTGCAGCCACTTCACACGGAAAAACAAGGTTTCGTGCTCCGGCTTCCTCCCCAACACATGTCCTATGTTCCCTATGCAACATTCATGCAGTCATTACAATGCATGTTGCAGCATCACGTAGCAAACCTGCATCTCTCTACGCACATGGCAACACCAGATGACAACAATCATGCAACAAAATTCCAATGCGATCTGCAACCACGGATTCAGGAGACGCAAAGAACTACGCACACAGGAACAACCACTCGTTGCAAAACACAGAGGAGGAACCGAGTATGCTCGGAACGACCGCGGCCGCGACCGCCTCACACAGGAGTTACCTTTCATCGCCGCCTGCAGCCACTTTACACGGAAAAACAAGGTTTTGTGCTCCGGCTTCCTCCCCAACACAAGCCCTATGCAACATTCATGCAGTCATTACAATGCATGTTGTAGCATCACGTAGCAAACCTGCATCTCTCTACGCACATGGCAACACCAGATGACAACAATCATGCAGCCATTACACGAGTGTATTGCTGTGTGATGCCAAGTCTCACACCACAGTCTCACACCACCCTTCAGTGAGTGTATTGTTATGTGATGTCAAGTCTCACACCACAGTCTCACACCACCCTTCATTGAGTGCATTCTTATATGATGTAAAGTCTCACACCACCCTTCATTGAGTGTATTGTTACAGGCAAAAGTCATCCGTAACTCGGAAGATTGCTTCCCAACTTCCTTTGATTATATGTAATACACATATATGTAGCAATATATATATACATATATATTATGCATGTATATATTTAATATGCGTATATACAAATATATATATATATATATATAATATATAGAGAGGGGAGCGTCCCCAGCCCGTGCAATTTTCATGCAAAACACTGGTTTCTCAGAAGTCACCTTATGTCACTTTTCTGCCTTCTGCACAGGTTTCATGCACTGTCAGCATCATTGTTTTATTTCTGTATATGTGTCTGTTGGTAGAAATATACAATAATACAGACGTTCTTGCTATGAAATATTGTATTTTGCCAATAAACAGAATTCAATTTTGACCAGTTGCGCCATGCTCAAACGATAGGGCGGTATTTGCTTCTATGCTGCATGTCTTGGAAACGTGAACAAGAGGAAAGAATACGTTTGACAGGGGATTTCATTTTGTCCCCAAGCAGCGCTGCAATGCGCTGCATCTTCCTGACAGAGACCCCTGCATCAAGAGATGTGATAGAGATGTGTAATGTTTTGCAAGGATGAACATTCGGTTTTGTTTTTTTTGTTTCATGTTTAAACATAACATCAACTCAGTAATTAAAGGCAATAGCATTATTCTCATCAGTCATCAGTTTCAAACAATGTGGCATTCCTGTGTGGCATACCTCCATGCAAGATTCCCCTACAGAGAGCGCACTATTCCTATCAGAAAGTGTATCATTACTTTGAAACAAAACCCTGAGATGTGCACAGCATTCCTTTGGAAAGAGCGTGTCATTTCTTCATTTCTTCCATATATTCTAGGAAAAATATACCATTCTTCCATATATAGGTAGTAGTTCTTTGAGAGAAGGGTAGCATCTCTCTAAGATAGAATTTGAGCATGCACATGAGTGTTTTTTGTGTGAAGAATGCATCGTTCCTTCAAAAAAACAAAAACACTGTATGCCCTCATGGAAAATTTGTTTAATTTATTTGAACAATGGTTTTATACAAAAATTCTTTGCAAAAAGGAACAACATTCATTTGGCAACGTATAGATTTATGTTTCTTTTCAAGTGGTGTGTCATCCCTTTGAGAAAGTAGCCTTCTATATACACAGCAGTCCTTAATAAATAGTATGGTATGCTGGTATGTTTCAAACTCTTGCGCGAAATGGAACCCTTTAATTTATAGAGAGAAATGCCTTGGAAAGATGGTGGTATTTCTTTAAGAAAATGCAGCATTACAGTATGACTCTATGGGATTGTCCTTTGAACAAACACTTTTTTTTTGCAGGAAATATAGCATTATATGCATTATGTTGCAATAGTATTCTTCAATCAGCAGTTGTACTTTAAAAGGCCATGATATTCCTTGAGGACAGCGCGGCACGTCTTTAGGTAAATTTCCTTTAAAACAATGCAATATTCTCTTGGTCATTTGGAAAAAGTGTGTCACTCTTTGCTTAGAGACTACAGAAACAGATCCACCCCCACCAGAACATAAAAATTGAGGTCTTCCGCTCCAGAAAATAAAAACAAAGGCCTGCCCACTTGAGATAGTACAAAATGAGCACCTGTTCCCCCCCCCAGAAACAAAAAAACGAAAAAACAATATATGCCCTAAATTAAAACCCAGAATTTTCCCAGATTTTGTTTTTTCGGTCTTGGTTCCAGATGAGGCCCAAGGACATGCACTTCAAATCAAACATCTAGAAAAAATGTGGATCTTCAACCCAAAACATCTGGAAAAATATAGAACCATTATGAAACCATGCAACCACCTGGAGAGAATGTGGAAGGAATGCTGTAAACTTTGCTTTACAATATTTGTTGGGGATATATGTAGCTCACAAACACCCCCAAAACACATGGGCTCACAGCGCTCCTTTCTGACAATACATATATAATAGAAAATATATTATAACAAATAGCATACATGTATATGTTTAGCCACATGTTCAGATCATGCAAAAACATACTCACTTTTGTTGGTTGGATATTCGAGTTCGATGGTGTGAAATTCCGCACTTTGGTTTTTTTGTTCAAATTAATGCTGGTTGACCTCCAATTTGTTTTTTTTTTGGACCCTCATCTGCTTCATTGCTGAAATTTGTGGTTCGTCATATTGTCATATACATTGGTTGCCTAATCCCAATTTTTGTTCCTTAACTCTCCAATTTCGATCGTTTTGGCTGGTTCATTACACAATGTCCATGTATATTTCCACTTTATTTGTTGCTTAAATCGCAAATCTTGACTGGTTCTAAATCCCATGTTTGATGTGTTAAATTCAGATATTTGTTGAGACTGGCTGCCAGCAAGAAACCACATGTGGTATACGACCAATGCGCATCTAACCGGCTCGAGGGCTTGTTCGTAGCGTAGCAGTTGGCTGGGTCAACGTAGCACCAGTGGTCATCACACCTGCACGCGCAAGCATGGCTGAAAACCAGAGGTCAACAAGCGCCTACCTGTTTGATACTGAATTTATGGAGCTTAACCAACCATATAATGAGAATGCAATGGGAATAATGAAAATACTGGGAATACCAGCAGTGCCCGCACGAGGCAGGGCGGAAGCTGCCTTAGGGTTATAATATGAAACCCTTTTCATCTATAGAACGTGCGTGCGCCGTGTGCCAGCCAGTTCCGTGCGTGCGTGCTTTGTACGAAAGTGGTGCACTGTTCCAGATGTCACACTTGAAGCTCCACACTTCACACTTCACAATGCACTCTTTACATTACACACTTGACACTTCACACTCCACACTTCATCTCATCTCGTCTGAGCTCTTCTCAAATGTCATCTCAGTTCCTCTCAATTATTTTCATCTCATCTGAGCACTGCTCAACTTTTCTCATCTCATCAAGCTCTTCTTAACTCATCTCAGCTCTTCTGTACATCAGAACACTTTTACTGTCAGAGAGAATCTCTTGCACACAAAAACCGTTGCGAGCATAATGCTTTTGCACAGAGAGTTTTTTTGCACACAGACAGGACACATAGAAGCTTTTGGACACAAACGCGTTTACACGGAAAAGCTTTTACACAGAGATGCCTTTACACACAGCAGCTAGTTTACGTACTAGTTTGCGCAAATCAATTCCCAGTACTTCTTTGCACTACAATACTTGCACAAAGTACTTCCCAGTACTACTTTGTATTGCAAAACCTGAATAAAGCACTTCCCAACACTACTTTGCACTACAAAGCTTGCACAAAGTACTTCCCAGTTCTACTTTGTACTACTAAGCTCGCGCAAAATACTTTGCAGTATTACTTTGTACTACAAAGCTCGCACAGAGTTCTTCCAAGTACATACTACTTTGTACTACAAAACTTGCTCAAAATACTTCCCAGTACTGCTTTGCACGACCAAACTTGCACAAAGCACTGCCCAGCAATACTTTGCACTACAAGCACAAAGTACTTCCCAGAACAGCTTTGAACTGTAAAGTTGTTACATCAAGAACTTTTTGCACAGAACCTTCAACACAGACAAGCTTTTACACACATGTTTTTTTTCAAACAGAAGCTTTTACCGCAGAAGCTTTTACACACAGAAGCTTTTACACACAGCAAGCTTTTATACACAGAAGCTTTTACACACACACACACACGAGCTTTTACACAGAGAAGCTTTTACACAGAGAAGCTTTTACACACACAAACAAGCTTTTACACAGAGAAGCTTTTACACACAGAAGCTTTTACACCCAGAAGCTTTTACACACACACACTCTCTTTTACACAGAGAAGCTTTTACACACAGAAGCTTTTACACCCAGAAGCTTTTACACACAGAAGCTTTTACACAGAGAAGCTTTTACAAACACACACAAGCTTTTACACAGAGAAGCTTTTACACACACATATACAAGCTTTTACACAGAGAAGCTTTTACACACAGAAGCTTTTGCGCCCAGAAGCTTTTACACAAAGAAGATTTCGCGGCTTTCACGTGCACAATAGCGGCAGAAACTGCAACTCCAAACTGGATCTTGGTGCCAAAGCGAAACAAGGACGATTTTGAAGCACTTGTTTCAAAAAAAAGCAAGGAACCTTCTTCAACCATTACAACGCGATCTGCTCCGCCAAGTGGCAAACACAAACGTATCTACGCACATGGCAACACAACATGACAACAATCACATGCAGCTATTCCAATGCGATCTGCAACCACACATTCCGCAACACCAAAGAACTACGCACGGGTGAACAAACCTAAACATTTTTTAAACCTCCGGGCCATGGGAGGAACCAATCACACGTCTCTCCAAATCACTTCTTCTCCAAGTCACTACTATCACTACTTCCCTAAGTCAACACACCTTCACAAAGTCACCGCATCTCTTAGTGACCACTTCTCTAAGGCACCACTTCACAAAGTCACCACCACCCTAAGTCATCACTTCCCGAAGTCACGGCTTCCCTAAGTCACCACTTCGGTCACGACTTCCGTAAGTCTCCCCCTTCCCCAAGTCATCACTTCCCCAGGTCACCACTTCTCAAGGTGACCACTTCCCTAAGTCATCGCTTCCCAGAGTCATCGCTTCCCCAAGTCATCACTCGTATTGTTGCTGCACGTGTTTTGTTATTGCTATTCCAGTCGTCCGCAACTCGGAAGATTGCTTCCCAACTTCCTTTGATCATGAAGAATACCCTCTGGTAAACTAACATAGCCATGGAAAATCACCATTTTTTATAGGTAAATCAACTGTAAAATGGGCCATTTTCTATAGCAAACTGTTAAATTAAACACAGTGGGATTTCTCCCCGCACTTCGCCATGGCATGCCATGCTGGGATCATCATCGGACTAACAAAAAATGGGGACTTGGTGGCCCCTGCTTAGCTGTACCCTATTGAAAATTGCCATTTATAGATATTTATAGTGAGTTTTCTCATGAAAAAAATATGATTTTCCATGGCTATGTAAACGTTTACAGTACCAGAGGGTAACATGTTGCAATCCATCCACATGATGATATGAATGGCGGACAAAATTACTTTCTACTCGCAATGGACATGGCCAAAGTGGGTGGTCCCCTATCGGTTGTGAAGGTTTGCCATGCTATGTGTAAAAATAGGGTATCGGCTATCGGTAAGTGGGTGGTCGCCTATCGGTTGTGAAGGTTTTCATTTGAACATCCCAAGTCCACTCCCTACTACTTCAGTCTTCCGCTAATTTTGTCGGTTACTCATATCTTATTGCCCTGGTCAAGTTACATGAGATCAGTAAGGGTACTGTCATCCACCATCGAACATGGAATTCCTTATAGAATCTTAAAACTATTAATTCAGGATGATCATGTCCTTCTATATCATAACATATAACACATGTTTTGACCATAGCATATATGAATATCTCATAAATGTGTGTAATATGTGACTGTCTGATCCTGATCATCATTCTAACATTCTAACGCTGATATTTACCCAAAGTGGCACCCAAAAACTTACCCAATTGTAGGCAGTTATACCACACGGGCATGGGGATATATATATATATATGACGCACCTTTGCCTCCTCATTCCCCCAGCACGCGCAGCTTCATTTTTTGCTGGGGCATCTCTGAATCTAACACGCAAGTCGAGTGCAAGGACGGTAGGATTTGGCACGAGGCTTTGAAAAGATTGCATCAATTGCTAGGCAATGAGGCCACTGCATGTGTTTGACAATGCAGAAATCCAAAAGAAGAGGTTGGCAGGGGAGGTGGAGGTGAACATGAATGCTGGAGTCGGTAGGTTGGTCATGAGATCATGACGCACCTTTGCCTCCTCATTCCCCCAGCACGCGCAGCTTCATTTTTTGCTGGGGCATCTCTGAATCTAACACGCAAGTCGAGTGCAAGGACGGTAGGATTTGGCACGAGGCTTTGAAAAGATTGCATCAATTGCTAGGCAATGAGGCCACTGCATGTGTTTGACAATGCAGAAATCCAAACTTTCCAAACATCCCGAACTAGGCTCTGATCATAGATTGCGGGCCGCCCAGGGAGCTTGTCCATAGTTTCGACCCAAAATCGAACCCATCACCAAACAAATCAAATGCATAACCATGTGGAAGCTATTTGACTGACCATCTATGGGCAGCTGGTCATTGTATAGGGTTTGGACGGCGACTGCCGCCGGTGACAATGCTGAATCTACCTGTTGAATGGCTTCGTCCAGAATTGAATCCAAAACCATGGTGACCAAAGCTACGGAACGGCGAAACACTGTCTTCACCATCAGGACTGTCACCTTACCACATAGCACTGAGAAGTTCGGCCTGGAACACACGACCAGCAACATGAAAATCAGAAAAGCAAGCTTGAACTTTGAGGATTTCTGGACCCAGCGGATGGCTCCAGTGCGAAGCCAAATCCCCCATTCAGAGACCCACTTTCGGTCTAGTTTTCCACTCGAGCTGCTGTCAGACTTACTATCTGGTTCTTCTGCACCATCTATAAGCTTCGAGGCCATGAACTGGCGACAGTACTGCATGAACCGAGGGTCTCCCCGGTAGGCTTTAGCACTTTTTGCGATCTCTACCTCCGGTAGGTCGCCATAGCATGCACCTTTCAAAGGACCACCGCTAACGGTGATCTTTCTCATCTTTTTCACCCATGCAGGCCCAGTCTCGGCATGCGCGGATGATTCCTTGCCCATGGCAGTTGAAAGGCTTTGAGACAACTAAGTGGTGACCGGGTAAATGCGTCTGCAAGAATCCCGGCAATTGCAAAAGAAATGAACCACGTTGTAAAAGACTCTGAACTTTTTCAATGCTCCGCTCCTGCATCTGTTGAAGGATTTGCTGCGACTTACCAACCTGCACATAGTGTTCTAGTGACTGGGCACTAGCCCAGCGACCTTGGAGCCTCAAACGACCTACGTCCATGTGAGTGTCGAACAAACACGTGGCGCCTCCAGCTCGCAGGGATGCAGGCGTAAACTTGCAATTGGCGAACTCCAGCTGTGCAGTGAGCTCTTTGAAAAGTCTTCTAAACTCAGTATGTGAGTGCTTCCACAACATCTCATGCGGCTGCAGGTCAGAGCAACACCAGACCACCCAGTTACAAACATCTGGCTGAGAAACTGTAGTGAACTGACTGGTCCCTAACTGTCTGAAGTTCTTAGGCTTAATGATAGAAATGGTTATTGCAGGCATTGCAAATGTCAAACTGTTCGGTAAGTTCACATGCCGACGCTGCAAATTTAACAACTCACCAGGCCTAAGAAGTCCGAAAAATCCAAGGCCCAGAAGCGCACTCACCCTCAGCATTTTTTCAGACTTGGAACGACTGGTCTCAGCCTCCATCGCCACAAGGCGTGCTTGGCATATCATGGCTATCAAAAGAGCTAATGGAAGCGGTGTCCGCATACTAGACGGCAAACTCTCCTCCCAAGCCCGGATGGTATCCCAAGTTCTCCTCAGTTTG